TTTTAAATGTATCTGTTAGCTTTCCCTCATGAAGAACTCGACATTGCATGTTTTTATATGTTGCCTTTACTAAGTTGATAATTTTCTGTGGGATTCCATAGTGTCTCATCAAAGTCTTGAGAAATTCTCTATCAATGCTGTCAAATGCTTTGTCATAGTCTATGAATCTAATGTAAATTGATGAGTTCAGTTCAATGCTTTGCTCTATTATTATATAAAATGTGGCTGTCTGGTCAGTACAGGATATTTGTGGCCAAAGACCTGCCTGTTCTTCTCTTAGCTTTTTATCAATAGCATCTTTTAATCTTTCCAAAATAATTCAGGAGCTGACAGCAACATAATTCCTCTATAGTTTTCACACTCCTGTAGATCACCTTTTTTGGGCAATTTCACAAGATATCCTTCTCTCCAGTCTGCTGGTATTTCTGGAGTCTCCCAGACTTTACTAAATAATATGTGTAGCAGTTCTGAATATGTATTTATGTTGGCCCTAATAGCTTCTGCTGGGATACCATCTGGACCTGCCGTCTTTCCTTCCTTGAGAAGATTGATAGCTTTTTATAATTTAGATGGTATCTCACAGTTGATATCCAGTTCCATTTCTAAAAACGGGATTTCTAGAGGAACCTCTGGGCCTGGTCTATTTAGAAGTATTTCCAAATATTCAGTCCATCTGTCCATTTGATCTATAGTGTTAGTCTTTCCTTGTACCTTGAAAGTACCTTTCCTTGACTATTTTCGATTGATCCAGTTGGCTGACTAGTAGTAGTTTAAATACTAATTTTCTTGTGTTTCTGTAAAGGTCTCTGAGGTTTCCTTTTGCTGCTGCTGTCTCCGTTTCTTTTGATAGATCATTTAAATATTTCACTTTATCTGCCCTTATAAGCCTCTTAACTTCCTTATTGGCTTCTGTGTGTTTATCCTGAGCTCTAGATTTAGCAGTTGTAGTTTTTTTATTGTTTAAGTCTGCTTTTTTACTTTTAGTCAATTTATTGGTTTCTGGTGTTATCCAAACTTTATATTTCCGTTCTTTCTTACCAAGAACTTCTACACAAGATTGATTCCAGATTCACTTGATCTGATCTGAGCAGACTTCAGTGCTTACATCTTCAGCTGCAACACCTGGTACTTATTAGAACCTATCACTGAAAATTGTTCCTTAACGTCTTAATCCCTGAGATAACCTACATTATACTGGGTTCTCTGATAAGATGTTATGTATGTTTTAAGTTTCAACTTGATTTTACTTATCAACATACAATGGTCAGTAAATACGTCAGCTCCTCTGAAAGCCCTAACATCATAAAGGGATGATCTAAACTTTTTGTTAATACATAGGTGATCAATTTGATTGGTTGTCATATGGTCTGGTCATTCTCATGTTGCATTATGTATTCTTTTATGGGGAAAAATACTTCCACCAATAACCTACTGGTTTTCTTCACAAAAATGTGTGAATTATTCTCCATTTTCATTCATTTCTCCTAGACCATGTATTCCATAATCTCTTCATAACCTGTGTTATCTGATCCTATCTTACCATTCAGGTCACCCATCTGAAAGGCATAATGTTAGACAGGCCTGCGTGCCCAATTCTTAACCCTTTGAAAATAAAGTTTGTTCGTTCGTTCGTTCGTTCATAATGTTTATACTGCCCTTTCTTTTATTATTTATAATATTTTAAAGCTGCATGTAAAAATTCTTCCTTAACTGATGCATCTTATTATCATTTCTTTGGTGCATAACACTGTATTACCAAAATGTTCACCTTCTGTTTCGCTGTTATAAATGAGGGTTGGTATCTGCCTAACATCAAAACCATTGGATCTCCTGCTTCTCAGACAATTAGACACACTATGTTGTTCCCCCTGTTTTTCTTCTTCGTGTTCACCGACTTAAAAACTATAGTTAAGCACTAGCAAAGAGATCAAAATTAGAATTTTGAGAGCATGCATCTTTCCTGTGGCAACATATGGATGTGAGTCATGGACTATCTCCCAGTCCTTAAGAAACAGAATAAATGCTATAAAAAGATTCTCAGAATATCTTGGACAAAGCATAGGAGAAATACTGACAACTTGTAAGATCTGAATATCAAGGAAGATTGGCTAATATACAGCATCCTGTCTCGGAAGCTGAAATATTTTGGTCATATCAAGCGCCACAACCAATTGGAAAAAAATTATAGCAGAAGGCATGGTACCAGGAAGGAGTGGCAGGGGCCGACCGACATGAAGATGGGCACAGGCTATAAGTGACTCCTTGAGTTTGAAAGTAGATGAGGCGGGAGAGCTTGCAAGAGACCGATTATCTTTCAGGCAGACTGTGATGAGAGGGACGTTCTGCAAAGGACCTGCTACATGATAATGAGGATGTTTACAGACTCCAAATTCAGGTGGAAAATTCTGGTTGTTCATCAACTTTTTGACTTCATTTTTTAAAACAAGTTTTCGCGTTCGTCCAATTTACAGATATGGCTTGTTTTGTATGCAGACTGTTGGTTCCTTGCCTTTCAGACAAATGTGTTGTGACTTTTAAGGAAAGACCCTCTGTACTCATGGTATAGTTTCTCATCCAATCTGGGATGGTTAAACTATCCAGTGGCTTTCCTCCGGCACCTAATCTCATAAGTGTTGATTCTGGTTGTTTACTTCAATCCTCCTCTCTTTTCATTTTGATCCTATGTTACCTTGCGGTTTGGAGGTGAAATATAATTTACGGAAAAGTAACAGTAACAAGTAACAGTTTGTGTGCTTCCTGAATGGGCATTACTAGAGACTCTATTATTCCTTCAGTCCATAGTTTGCATGGTTGGCCTCTTCTTTGCTTCCTGCCTGGTGTGTACATTATTTTTTGCTGTGATATACTGTTTGGTGACATCTGAGTTATATGGCCAAACCATTTCACCCGTTGTCTTCTAATGAGATCCAGAGCTGCTGCCACCCCCAATTGCCTTCAGATTTCATCATTCCTGATCTGATCTCTTATTGTTGTATTAAGAGTCTTTTGCAGGAATCTTATGTCAGTTGTAAATTTGTTCTTTTCTCTTTTTCTGTCCAGGTCTGGCAATGGTAGCACAGGGTTGGTATTCTCATAGTGTGATAATTTGGCACACGTACGGGGGACCACATAACCATGTTAATATATTGTCTTCTATTTTGTAAAATTATTTCTTTGATTTCAGAATGTCAAAATGCCAGCTGTTTTACACACCGGTGGTGACATTGACATTCTTCTGCCGCCAGGACTGACTAGAGTTGACATTCAGTCACTGACCACACGCACAAATCTCCAGAACAAATATGTACAGGCAAGTGTCCTTGTAGTTGCTGTGGCCGAGCGGCTAGATGCTCGTCGTGGGTTCGCTCCCTGGCGGAGCCAGACTTTAAAAAAAAAATGACCTTGGCTCCCAGGTCGACCCAACCTTGAGTGGGTACCGGGTGCAGTCCCAGGAAGTAAAGGCGGCTGGTGTGATGCTGACCATATCACCTATCTTGTGCCCATTGGTCTATAAATATATAGATCTAGTCCTATATGCCCTAAACGCCTAATAGCATGGAAAAGGGTCCTTTATTTAAAAATTTTTTTTTTTTAAACTTAAGTGTCCTTGTTACTTAAAGTCTGAATCACGTATTGTATTATCTGTAGAAGAGCAGTTCTCATGTGTGGATTGTGTTGTGTGTGCTGCCATGTGTATGTTGTGTTATACACCGGAACTCTTAGTCACAGAGGGCAATGTGAAATGATCTGCAGTTTCCACTCCAAAACTGTGACCACCTGACACTGTGTTATAGTTGGTATTTAGAAACAAGATACATGACACATATGGGATACCCATGGTACATGATTTCACACACACAGTTGATAACTTACACAGTACAAGATTCAGTACACTTAGCTCAGAACTCACAGTTCAACACACACAGTAAAAAATTCAACACAGCAGCTTCAAATCATCTACAGTAATAAAACTGATTACACTCTTTGTGACTGCCAGAAACTTAGGAACAAATGGTGGGCTGTCTCCACAGTGTAGGATGGCTGCAGTACAGCCACTGCAGACTTTGAGAGTGTCGTGAGGAAGCTTGTCTCCTCCCTGCTGTGTGTCTCACTACCGCTGTCTCAGTGGAACCCTGGTTCTCTGGACATTGTGAAACACATTCTCTAATCTTTAGGCTACAGAACCACACTAAACACATGTAGTTGGCGACTAATGTTTGTGATATTTGTCCCTTTCTGACAGTCTGTCTGTCGGGGTTGTCTTTTTGTGTCAGCCTGTCTGTCTGGTTGTCCCTTTCTGTCAGCCTGTCTGTCTAGTTGTCTCTTTCTGACTGTCTGTGGGAGTTGTCCCTTTTTGTCAGCCTGTCTTTAGGGGTTGCCTCTTTCTATCAGCCTGTCTGTCTGGTTGTCCCTTTCTGTCTGCCTGTCTGTCTGGTTGTCCCTTTCTATCTGCCTGTCTGTCTGGTTGTCCCTTTCTGTCTGCCTGTCTGTCTGGTTGTCCCTTTCTGTCTGCCTGTCTGTCTGGTTGTCCCTTTCTGTCTGCCTGTCTGTCTGGTTGTCCCTTTCTGTCTGCCTGTCTGTCTGGTTGTCCCTTTCTGTCAGCCTGTCTTTCTGGTTGTCCCTTTCTGTTAACTTGTATGTCTGGTTGTCCTTTTCTGTCAGCCTGTCTGTCTGGTTGTCCTTTTCTGTCTGCCTGTCTGTCTGGTTGTCCCTTTCTGTCAGCCTGTCTGTCTGGTTGTCCCTTTCTGTCAGCCTGTCTTTCTGGTTGTCCCTTTCTGTCAGCCTGTCTTTCTGGTTGTCCCTTTCTGTTAACTTGTATGTCTGGTTGTCCCTTTCTGTCAGCCTGTCTGGTTTTATATTTCTGACAACCTGTCTGTCTGTTTTTTTTAAATGTTTGTCAGTCTGTCTGTCTCCGAGAAAAGTGGGAGTTTAAAGGGAGTATACTCTCTGTGAGATCTGTGTGGAATTGGTTTGTCTGATGTGACATTTTGTTGTTGCAGGCAACCATTAGCCACCGATATGGACACAACACCTTGCCAGTGTCATCAATGAAACTGATACTTGAAAACAGTAAGTGTCATTGTCTTATTCCAATGTTTCTTTGAGTGTGAACATAGCAGAAATACAACACCTCATGTGACATGTCATGGATTCATAGGCAATTAAAGTCAGTGGGACAATCACATTTTACATCTTGAGGACTGCTGAATTCAGGCTGACTGCATGGATCGTCACTGTGATTACTGCGTGCTTTCATTAATATCTAATGAAATTGTCAGTAGGACCTTTAGCAGCCGCTGTCTCCAAGTCCTAACTCTGCAAATTTTACTGTCGCTACATTCCTGTCTCTAACATGAATTATTTTACATTTGTTCACAGATTCGGAGTTTCATCTTGTTTCATGTATGCTAACCTAAATTTTGTGTATGTCTTCAGATCAAGGAGACACAATTGTACTGATAGCGGTTGGGCAGGTGGCAGACGACTTAGACGTTTGTGTGAAAGGGGTGAGATTAAATCTACTGTCATTGTGTAGTAAGTCCTTTGCAGAACATTGCTCTCATCATGGTCTACCTAAAAGAATTTTGGTCTTTCACCAGCTTTCCCACTTTGTGCAGTTTTATATCCAAGGAGTCGCTCGGTCTCTCACCAGCTTTCTCACTTTGTGCACTTTCATATCCAAGGAGTCACTCTTGTCTCTCACCAGCTTTCCCACTTTGTGCACTTTATATCCAAGGAGTCACTCAGTCTCTCACCAGCTTTCCTACTTTGTGCACTTTCATATCCAAGGAGTCACTCTGTCTCTCACCAGCTTTCCCACTTTGTGCACTTTCATATCCAAAGAGTCACTCAGTCTCTCACCAGCTTTCCCACTTTGTGCACTTTCATATCTAAGGAGTCACTTAAATGCCGAGTCCATGTTGCTCGGCCAGTGCTCTTCCTTCCTGCTGGTTCTATGCCTTCTGCTATTATTTTTTCCAGTCCACCATGGTGTTTGTTATGACCACATATTTCAGCTTATGGGATAAGATACTGTTTATAAGCCAGTCTTCCTGGATGTTCATATCTTATAGAATGTCAGTATTTCTTCTCTTCTATGTCTGTGGTATTCTGAAAAAAAAAAAATTCTTTTATAGATTTTCAGCTCATAAGCCTCTATTTTCTTCCTTAACTGGGAGATAGTCCATGACTCACGCCCGTATGTTGCTACAGAGAAGACATGATTTTCTTGCTTGAGCTTAACCATAGACTTTTAGTGCTGCTGAATCTTTCTATTGCATTGGCTAAATATACAGTACTCTCTGCTATAATCATCACCTCATAGGTTCTTTACAGTACATCGTGCCTGACCACTGTCCTGTCCACAGTGTCTCCTGTCCAACTTCTTGCTGGTTGGCATACGCCTCTGTTACCTGGCATCATGCCCTGTTTTTAAAAAAAAAAATTTTCAAGTCTACTGGCGCTTAATATGGCCAACATTTTCCATTTTATTGGCACCTAATATCACCAACATTTTCCATTTTATTGACTCTTAATATGGCCAACATTTTCCAGTTTTTTTTGGCACTTAATATGGCCGACATTTTCTAGTTTATTGGCACCTAATATGGCTTTTTCTAGTTTGCTGGTGATATGGCCAACATTTTTCAGTTTACTGGCACTTAATGTGACCAACATTTTTGAGTTTACTGGCACTTAAAGGGCCAACATTATCTAGTCTACTGGTGCTTCATATAGCCAACATATTCCAATTTCAAGAATAGATGCTGTTTGCTAGCCAGTATTTCTTTTGGATGTCAGTATTTCTTCTCTTCTTTTTCTGGGGTATTCTGTTAATATTTCCATAGCATTTCATCTCAGAATTACCCCCCCCCCCCTTTTTTCTCCCAACCCTTAAAAAAATGAATGTATGCTTCTTTTATTAAAAATAATAATTGAGCGTGTGCATTTATTAATATGAATATTAATTAAATGTATTCTTGTGTTATTATGTCGGCGTCTGTGGCGAATAACATGCTTTGTAATGTCCGCATGCAGGGTTCGATTGCAAATGCAGGCAGTTTGGCAGCAGATCGCTTTAGGTTCGTATCGAGAGCTGACCATTTAAAAAGCATTGGCCAACTACTGAATGTAAATTTTCTTAGAAAAACCACAGCAGTCCAAAAAATGCTGGGGTTGGTTCTGCAACGTCCTGTAAAAGACTTGAAAAAATTTAGTGTGTGGTATTATTATACAAATTATTGAATATACTTGTATTATTGAACATGTTATTATATTATATAAAAAAAAAAAAAAATAACTCTAATCTGTGCCAGGATGTCCTGGTTCTCCTCAAGTTTGTGGTAGAAAAAAGCCCTGGTCACTGCAAGCAGTTGTATCAGATAATTGCTGACGACACCGAGGCTGGCTGCTTAGTTTGGGTATGTCTGTTTCTGGAACCATGTGTTGTCTTTGCTGGAGTGATGGAGTGGCAGAAGTGTTTGTGAAAACCTGTGTTGTCTTTGCTTGAGTGATGGAGTGGCACAAGTGTTTGTGAAAACCTGTGTTGTCTTTGCTTGAGTGATGGAGTGGCAGAAGTGTTTGTGAAAACCTGTGTTGTCTTTGCTTGAGTGATGGAGTGGCAGAAGTGTTTGTGAAAACCTGTGTTGTTTTTGAGTGATGGCATGGACAAAAGCGTTTGTGAAAACCTATGTTGTCTTTGCATGAGTCATGGAGTGGCAGAAGTGTTTGTGAAAGCCTGTGTTGTCTTTGCTTGAGTGATGGAGTGGCAAAAGTGTTTGTGAAAGCCTGTGTTGTTTTTGAGTGATGGCATGGACTAAAGAGTTTGTGAAAACCTGTGTTGTCTTTGCTTGAGTGATGGAGTGGCAGAAGTGTTTGTGAAAACCTGTGTTGTCTTTGCTTGAGTGATGGAGTGGCACAAGTGTTTGTGAAAACCTGTGTTGTCTTTGCTTGAGTGATGGAGTGGCAGAAATGTTTGTGAAAACCCGTGTTGTTTTTGCGTGATGGCATTGACAAAAGAGTTTGTGAAAACCTGTGTTGTCTTTGCTTGAGTGATGGAGTGGCAGAAGTGTTTGTGAAAGCCTGTATTGTCTTTGCTTGAGTGATGGAGTGGCAGAAGTGTTTGTGAAAGCCTGTGTTGTTTTTGAGTAATGGCATGGACAAAGAGTTTGTGAAAACCTGTGTTGTCTTTGCTTGAGTGATGGAGTGGCAGAAGTGTTTGTGAAAACCTGTGTTGTCTTTGCTTGAGTGATGGAGGGGTAGAAGTGTTTGTGAAAACCTGTGTTGTCTTTGCTTGAGTGATGGAGTGGCAGAAGTGTTTGTGAAAACCTGTGTTGTTTTTGCTTGAGTGATGGCATGGACAGAAGTGTTTGTAAAAACCTGTGTTGTCTTTGCTTGAGTGATGGAGTGGCAGAAGTGTTTGTGAAAACCTGTGTTGTCTTTGCTTGAGTGATGGAGTGGCAGAAGTGTTTGTGAAAACCTGTGTTGTCTTTGCTTGAGTGATGGAGTGGCAGAAGTGTTTGTGAAAACCTGTGTTGTTTTTGAGTGATGGCATGGACAAAAGAGTTTATGAAAACCTGTGTTGTCTTTGCTTGAGTGATGGAGTGGCAGAAGTGTTTGTGAAAGCCTGTGTTGTCTTTGCTTGAGTGATGGCATGGACAGAAGTGTTTGTAAAAACCTGTGTTGTCTTTGCTTGAGTGATGGAGTGGCAGAAGTGTTTGTGAAAACCTGTGTTGTCTTTGCTTGAGTGATGGAGTGGCAGAAGTGTTTGTGAAAACCTGTGTTGTCTTTGCTTGAGTGATGGAGTGGCAGAAGTGTTTGTGAAAACATGTGTTGTCTTTGCTTGAGTGATGGAGTGGCAGAAGTGTTTGTAAAAACCTTTGTTGTTTTTGAGTGATGGCATGAACAAAAGAGTTTGTGAAAACCTGTGTTGTCTTTGTAGTATTTGAGTGATGGGGGACCAAAGTGTTTCTAAAAGAGTTTGTGAAAACCTGTGTTTTCTTTGCAAAATTCGAGTAATAGAGTGACAGAAGTGTTTGTGAAAACCTTTGTTGTACTTGAGTGATGGCAGTGACAAAAGTGTTTGTAAAAACCTGTCTTTGTAGTACTTGAGTGACAGCAGTGACAACAGATTTTTTAGTGGAGTATTTATTTTGAGAAATGTAGCCTCAAGTCAGACATGATCACCTCAGTTTCCATATTTGATTATGTATTTATATTCCTATATCACTATTGTTTCCACTCTGCCTTTACATATTGATTGTGGTTTTTCTTAGTCCCTTTTAATTTGTTTTAAAATTGTTTTTTTTCTCAAGGAAAATCTTGCAATGTCTGTTCACCTGAACCAAAATGTTAGGTCATTGTCTCTGTGCCGAATCCCAACAAATGTTTACTTTAACACCATCAACTGTTTTTTTGTGTAGGTCTTTAAAACCAGCAAGAAGCCTCCACAAGCAAGGCCATGTGAGGTAAGTTGCATGAATGTCTTCTGTTCCTCGTTGCAAAATTTTGTTTGATCAGTAATTAACTGTTTCTGGGAGACAGCTGTTAGTATAATGAAACCAGTTTACATGTCTAGAATCCTGTTGAAGTTACTGTGAGCAGGTATTATATTGTGTCCTAGTTTGTGATGTGTTCATTGACTCGTGCCTACATTCTGACCCTTATAATCCAAGAATGGATGAATATGACACAAATAGAGCTATCACCCACTGAGGGACAATTGTCTGTACAAACCTGACTCTCATCTCATATGCTGGATACAATACTGGGTCTGTACTGGGATCTGAACTGGACATGACTTACAGGTTAAACCGCAACCAGTGTGGTTCCAGTTATCTTTGCCTGTCTGTTACATTGCAGTCATCCTTTCACATCTGCTTTACTTGTTTCATTATGTTTTTTAAACATATTGTTTATCAAACAAATCATCTTCCGATCCTTATATTTTATAATTTCAGTTATTCTATTTTAATGTTTCTGTTTCTTAACGTTCATGAAAGGATGCACTCCTAGAAGGTAACAGCCCTGTTGGTCACCTACGATAACATATGTGTTAAGGAGGCAGTGGGTCAGTTTCACCCCTCCCACATGGGAACCTTGTAGGGAAATTTGTTTCTATAATTAGATTTACTGTTTCTATAATTTATGATGTCAGTTTTTATAGTAATTTTGTTCCTATAATTAGATTAACTGTTTCTATAATTTCTGATGTCAGTTTTTATAGTAATTCTGTTCCTATAATTAGATTAACTGTTTCTATAATTTTTGATGCCAGTTGTCATAGTAATTCTGTTCCTGTAATTAGATTCTTCTTCTTCAGCATTCCGAGCCCTTGAGGTTCATTGCTGCAGATATCACATGCCTCCATTCATCTCTCTGGTTGGCCTTCTCTTTCCAGTTGATGATACCAAGTGTTTGTGTGTTTGCAGGTCTGATTGGATATTATCTCTCCATCCTCTTCTTGGTCTGCCTCATGGTCTGCGACCATTCATCTCCCTCGTGTATACATTTTTTACTTCTCTGTCATCTGACATTCTATCAATATGCCCCAAGCATTTTTAGTCTATTAGCTTTCATGATGCTAGTGATCAGTGGAGATTTAATTAACCTATTTAGATTAACTGTTTCTATAATTTCTGATGTCTGTTGTCATAGTAATTCTGGTGCTGTCATTAGATTCCTTGTTGAAACAAATTGTGATTGCATTGATTTTATAATTCTGTTCCTATCATTAGTCTGTTATTTGTAAAACAATGCATGCCATCAGATCCTATAAGTAACTGCACTTTTTCATTACATTATTGACTGCTCAAAACTGATGTACTCTTAATTTCAGACTGCTGCACAATCTCGAACTTATTCATACAGGCCATTGGAGGAGCTAAAAGTGAACACAACTGTGGATGTTTATGGAGTGGTCACATCTTACAAGCCGCCAGCTAAAACTAAGGGTTCAGGTTTGTGTACATTTTATTATTATTTTAAATGAGAGATGTTGGTCCTAGTGATGCTGCTTTGACCGCCAGCTAACCCGCACACGCACTACTCTAGACGGTAGCACACAACAAGCACACCTGATCTAGCATTTGCAACAGACGACATCCATAAGATATCCGTTAGGCAGGTGTGTGACCAGTTAGGAGGCAGTGACCACAGGCTAGTGAAGATTCTGATAAACAGCCTTAAAATAGAAAAATCTCCAGATACTGCACCAAGCTGAAACTACAAAAAGGCAGATTGGAAACTTTTTCAAGAACTTGCAGATTCAAACTGCAAAGTAATCAGCCTTTCAGGTAAGGTTGACAGAGATGCACAAGAATTCAACAAGGCCATACTGAATGCAGCAAAAAAAAAAACATTCCTAGAGGAAAGAGGCACAATTACAAGCCATATTGGTCACCAGAACTGGAAGTGCTTCACGGTTCTCTCTGTGATGCTAGAGATAGCATGGAAGCTGATCCAACAGACGAACATGTGAAGCAACACAACAGAGCAAGGGCTCTCTATGTCAGAGAAAGAAACCTACAGTGTAGAAAGTCCTGGAAAGAAAAGACTGCTTCTCTGAACATGGAAAAAGACACCACAAAATTGTGGAGACTGACAAAGGCACTTAATGATGACAACCCATCTCATGGAAAAACAGTTCTCCAACAAGAAGGAAATCAACTCACAGGGAAGGAAGCAGCGTCTCTGATGGCCCAAAACTATGAGAAAGCTCATATTCAGTAACCCTGGAGCAAAAGAAAGCAGTCCGAGATGGGATAAACTCCATATTAAAAAAAGCCTCTTGTAAGCCATGCATGGAGACAGACATCACTCTAACTGAGCTTCTAAAAGCAATGAGAAAACTCAAGTCAAAGAAGGCACCTGGCCCAGACGAAGTTTCAAACGACATGCTCAAACATATGGGTCCAGTAGCACAAAACATCTTACTCCAGATATACAACTATAGCTAGAAACTAGGCAGAGTCCCAGATATCTGGAAAAATGCTATAATCCACCCTATCCTCAAAAGTGGCAAGGACAAGAAGGACCCTCAGAGCTACAGGCCTGTCAGTGTGCTAAGCTGCCCCGAAAAACTGATGGAGAGAGTGCTAGCCACCAGACTTCAGTGGTTCCTAGAAACCAATCACAAACTGGATCCCGCTCAGACAGGCTACCGACAGCACAGAAGCACTGATGACCAGGTAGCATACCTTACACAGGACATAGAAAATGGCTTCCAGGAAAAGAAGAAAACCCTCACAGTCTTTTTTGATATGTCCAAGGCCTTTGACAAAGTATGGAAGGATGGCTTGATGCTAAAGCTCTTACATAGTGGAATAAGAGGCAGAATGTGTTACTGGATACAAGACTTCCTATCCCACAGGCGGGCATCTGTGAAACTAGATGAAGCACATAGTCCCAGATTCAAGCTGAGAGCAGGTGTACAATAGGGTAGTGCACTGTCTCCAGTCCTGTTCCTGATCTACATCAACGACCTACCTCAAGCTTTACCCAGACATGTATCACATTCTCTTCATGCAGATGAAATAGCTGTGTGGTACACCTCTGAGTTCATTGGACCGGCTATATCAAAACTCCAGGAAAGTGTGAATACTGTCATAAACTGGGCTAACAAATGGGGCCTTGAAGTAAACAGGAACAAAACTGTAGCAACACTCTTCTCATTGTCTACAAAGGAGGAAAAGTTTACATAAAAATTCAGCAATGATGCTGTTCCACGCTCCAATACTCCAACCTTCCTGGGAGTCAAGCTTGACAGTCGTCTGACATGGAAACATCACATACTAGAAACTAACAAAAAAGCTATGAGAAAACAAGGTGTGATGAAGAAATTGGCAGGCACCACTTGGGGAGCAGACAGTTGTATCTTGAAGCAGGTATACACCGGCACAGTCAGACCAACTCTTGAATACACATCATCGTCATGGATAATAGCAGCCCATTCCAATAAAGAGATACTAGACAAAACGCAAAATAGAAGTCTGCGTACAATTCTGGGAGCCATAAAATCTACACCTATTGTAGAAATGGAAAAGGCAGCCAACATCATCCCCTTAGAAGAAAGAAGAAGGTCAAAAGCAATTCTTCATGCTGAAAAAATGAAGAGAATGCTAAACCACCCATTACACAAAAAATTGGCAGCCAGGACAAAAAACCGAATAAAGCGCACAAGCCTAAACCATCTAACGAAGGAATTTTGAAAGTCATTCTCTTCACTACTTAACCAACAATGTACACCTGAAGAGCTATCTTTCGATCTCTGGGACTCCGAATTATTGACACTCAGTGTGTCAACATCCATCCCGAACCTGGGAAACAAAGATGCTGAGCCCGCTTTAGTGAAGAAAGCACTCACAATGGAACACCTCAACAACATGTTCCCACAGGACAGCTGGACGAGAATCTACACAGATGGATCAGCAAAAGATGCAACTACGAATGGTGGGGCAGGTGTTTACATAAAACACCCAGATGCCATTACTGTGTCCCTAGCAGCCCCCACCGGACGAACTTGCTCTAACTACAAGGCAGAACTCTCAGCTCTATTGATGGCAGCACAGTATATGAACAATCTGCAAATCACCGCAGGCAGGATAGTTTTTCTCACTGACTCACTGTCAGCTATACAAGCCCTTGAGTCCAAACCTACCGACAGCACACTACAAAGTCTAACACAGGAACTTGCTATGTTGTCAAATAAGGCAGAAATTCACTTGCAGTGGATTCCGTCTCACCGTGGCATCAAAGGCAATAAAAGCGCAGATGCTTTAGCCAAGGAAGGCAGTAACAAACCACAGACCTACCAGCCACTATCTTTTCCAGAAGTTAAAACTCTCATTAAGAGAAAATCAGAAACAGATTGGAAAACCAACACTGGTTATAACTACGGAAAAGATTTTCTGAAACACTTGAACAGAACAGACCAAGTCACAGTTTTTCGCTTACGCACTGGACACTGCAGACTCAATAAACATTCACATAAATTAGGTATGAGCCAAACAGCTCTCTGGCAGTGACTTCGTGCTGAACAGACTCCAGAACATGTCCTGCAAGACTGTCGTCTCCTGGCGGAGCTGCGGAGCGACATATGGCAACAACCAGTAGAACTGACAACTAACCTTTGGGGAAACCTAAGAGACCTTGCAAAGACATCCCAGTTTATGACCCACAGTGGATTATGTGCATGACCAGAGATCGCTGAAGAAGAAGACATTTCACATATTTTTTTTAAATGAGAGATGACGAAATGTGTTCAATCTCCTTAGATGTTGAAGAATATGGCTACTGACAGTTTCGATGGCCAGTTTCACTTGTATTCCCTTATAGAATCCTTGTCTATCCTTGCAGTGGACTGAGAGAATTTGTTGTTTTCCACAGACTTTGTCTGTACTGTAGGCTTGACTGACTCCAGCCTTGGCCCAGATAACTGGCTGGTGTGCAATATTTTCAGTCCCAGCGAAGCTCAACTGCCAAAAGTAGAAGTGGGAAATGTTCTTAGGCTCCATCGGCTAAAGGTAAGTCATGTCTAAACCTTTTGAAACTAAAGTTTGTTTGTTCGGTCATTCCTTGGGAGAACTGATGATAGCTAACAGTTGGGTTTCTTGTCTCTAATGCATAAACCAGTCATTGTCTCAACTACATATAGACCAGTCATTGTCTCAACTACATATAGACCAGTCATTGTCTCCACTACATATAGACCAGTCATTGTCTCAACTACATATAGACCATCATTGTCTCAACTACATATAGACCAGTCATTGTCTCAACTACATAAGGACCAGTCATTGTCCTCACTACATATAGACCAGTCATTGTCCCCACTACATAAAGGCCAGTCATTGTCTCAACTACATATAGGCCAATCATTGTCCCCACTACATATAAGCCAATCATTGTCCCCACTACATATAGGCCAATCATTGTCCCCACTTCATAAAGACCAGTCATTGTCTCAAATACATATAGACCAGTCGTTGTCCCCACTACATATAGGCCAGTCATTGTCTCAACTACATATAGACCAGTCATTGTCTCAACTACATATAGACCAGTCATTGTCCCCACTACATATAGGCCAATCATTGTCCCCACTACATATAGGCCAATCATTGTCCCCACTACATATAGACCAGTCATTGTCCCCACTACATATAGACCAGTCATTGTCCCCACTACATATAGACCAGTCATTGTCCCCACTACATATAGGCCAATCATTGTCCCCACTACATATAGGCCAATCATTGTCCCCACTACATATAGGCCAATCATTGTCCCCACTACATATAGGCCAATCATTGTCCCCACTACATATAGGCCAATCATTGTCCCCACTACATATAGACCAATCATTGTCCCCACTACATATAGGCCAATCATTGTCCCCACTACATAAAGACCAGTCATTGTCTCAACTACATATAGACCAGTCGTTGTCCCCACTACATATAGGCCAGTCATTGTCTCAACTACATATAGACCAGTCATTGTCTCAACTACATATAGACCAGTCATTGTCCCCACTACATATAGGCCAATCATTGTCCCCACTACATATAGGCCAATCATTGTCCCCACTACATAAAGACCAGTCATTGTCTCAACTACATATAGACCAGTCATTGTCTCAACTACATATAGACCAGTCATTGTCCCCACTACATATAGACCAGTCATTGTCCCCACTACATATAGGCCAATCATTGTCCCCACTACATATAGGCCAATCATTGTCCCCACTACATATAGGCCAATCATTGTCCCCACTACATATAGGCCAATCATTGTCCCCACTACATATAGGCCAATCATTGTCCCCACTATATAAAGACCAGTCATTGTCCCCACTACAAATAGGCCAATCATTGTCCCAACTACATATAGGCCAATCATTGTCCCCACTACATATAGGCCAATCATTGTCCCCACTACATATAGGCCAGTCATTGTCTCAACTACATATGGACCAGTCGTTGTCTCAACTACATATAGACCAGTCGTTGTCCCACAGTACATAGGCCAGTCTTTGTCTCAACTACATATAGACCAGTCATTGTTCCACTACATATAGACCAGTCATTGTCCCCACTACATATAGACCAGTTGTCACCAGTACATAGGCCAGTCATTGTCTCAACTACATATAGACCAGTCATTGTCCCACTACATATAGACCAGTCATTGTCCCACTACATATAGACCAGTTGTTGTCTCAACTACATATAGACCAGTCATTGTCCCACTACATATAGACCAGTCATTGTCCCCACTACATATAGACCAGTTATTGTCACCAGTACATAGACCAGTCCTTGTTCCTAGTGGATAGAACAGTCATTGTCCCCACTACATGTAGACCAGATATTGTCTCAGCTACATGTAGACCAGTCATTGTCACCAGTACATAGACCAGTCGTTGTCCCACTACATACAGACCAATCATTGTCTCAACTATATATATAGACCAGTCGTTGTCCCACTACATATAGACCAGTCATTGTCCCCACTACATAAAGGCCAGTAATTGTCTCAAATACATATAGACCAGTCATTGTCTCTACTACTTATAGACCAATCATTGTCTCAGCTACATATAGGCCAATCATTGTCCCTACTACATATAGACCAGTCATTGTCCCCACTACATAAAGGCCAGTAATTGTCTCAAATACATATAGACCAGTCATTGTCTCTACTACTTATAGACCAGTCATTGTCTCAACCACATATAGACCAGTCATTGTCTCAACAACATATAGACCAGGCATTGTCTCAACAACATATAGACCAGTCATTGTCCCAACAACATATAGACCAGGCATTGTCTCAACTACATATAGACCATTCGTCTCAACTACATATAGACCAATTGTTGTCCCACTACATATAGACCAGTTATTGTCACCAGTACATAGACCAGTCATTGTTCCTAGTGGATAGACCAGTAATTGTCCCCAGTACATAGACCAGTAATTGTCCCCAGTACATAGCCCAGTTATTGTCCTCAGTACATAGCCCAGTTATTGTCCCCAGTACATAGCCCAGTTATTGTCCCCAGTACTTAGTCCTTTTATTGTCTGATACACTCAGTCCAGTTATTGTCCGATGTACTTAGTCCAGTTATTGTCCTCAGTACTTAGTCCAGTTATTGTCCCAAATACTCAGTCCATTTATTGTTTCGAGTACCTAGTCTAGTTATTGTCCCAAGTACTTAGCCCAGTTATTGTCTCAAATACTTAGTCCAGTTATTGTCTCAGATACTTAGTCTAGTTTTTGTCCCAAATACTTATTCCAGTTATTGTCTCAAATACTAAGTCCAGTTATTGTCCCAAATACTTAGTCCAATTATTGTCCTAAGTACTTAGTCTAGTTATTGTCCCAAATACTTAGTCTAGTTACTTAGTATAATTATTTTCACAAACACATAGTCTAGTTATTGTCCCAAATGTCGGCTCTGTGGCTAAGTCGATGCGAACGCTTCCAAATGCCGGAATGCTGGGTTCGATCCCAGCTGTGGGCCATGCGCCTAGCGTTGGTTTCGACAGTGGTATCAAGAAAGCCGACCGTCCAGAAAGCAATGACAAACTACTGGATGTAAATTTGCCTAGGAAAAAAACCACACAACAGCCTGGGGCTGTTAGGGTTGGTTCTGCAACGTCCTGTAAAGGATACGCAACTAACCTTATTGTACCAAATACCTGGCCCACTTATTCTCCTAAATACCTGGTCCAGTTATTGTCTCATATACTTAGTCCAGTTATTGTCTCAAATACTTGGTCCAGTTAATGTCTCAAATACTTAGTCTAGTTATTGTCCCAAATACTTAGTCGAGTTATTGCCTCAAATACTATGTCCATTTATTGTCTCAAATACTTAGTCTCAAATGCTTAGTCTAGTTATTGTCCTAAGTACTTAGTCCAGTTATTGTCCCAAATACTTAGTACAGTTATTTTCTCAAATACTGAGTCCAGTTATTGTCCCAAATACTTAGTCTAGTTGTTGTCCCAAATACTTGTTCCAGTTATTGTCTAGTGTTCAGATTAAAAACTTCCAGGGTATAAAACTATCATTGTGCTAGTTTATACACTTAAGTCACTGAGAGTGTTGACATTTTAAATGATCATTTGCAGATTCAAAACTTCCAAGGCAAAAAACAGGGGCGCAGTGGCCCAGGATTTCATTGGCTCCTCTTCCATGGGTCCTTTGAGAACAGAGAAGCCTCATCATCATCATACACAGTTGAGCAGCAGGATGAAATCATGGTATGTTTAAACCTCACAGTTTCACTGGTGTGTTTACCCCAGTGGTCATTTGTTGCATCTTCATGTGTGGCTGCCTCTCTAGTCTTCAGAAAGGGAACCAGGCTAAGGTGGAACTCCCACCACATGGGCATCCATCCTCAGTAGCCTGATAGTCTGCTTTATATCTCCTCCGACAGGCGTCAGACTGAAAGGATAAAAGCACGGCAAATTTTCAGTGTCCAGTTTGGGTTCTTATCACGATATTGTCCACACAGCAAGAATTATTTCCCCTCCCATTCATGCTGCGGCTGGTCACACAGCCTGTTGTTAGGTTGTGGGGTTTGTCATATATTCCTTATTTCAGTGGTTCAACCCCTCTTTTCTGGTGTTGTCACCTCTCCCTTGTGAGATTATTGGCCCTTTGTGCTACTTGTACGACGGTTTGTGAGTAGTGAAATTGGGATGTTTTTGTATTTCTACTTTCCTTGGCAGTTGTTTTTTTTTCTTGGAAGAAAGCCACTGCCAATGAATGTAGAAAAGTAAAAACATCCCAGTTTCTGTACCTATGAACCGTCCTGCCTGCCACGCTCCCCCAGCAGTACTTTTTACTCGTACAAAAGCGCCTGTAGAGCTTTAAAGAGACTCACAACAACACAATTTTTCACAAACATTGTTTACGGCGAGTGAACACCGAACAAAGCCATATCATAACACCCCCATAACATAGGACAGACCTCATGACCGGCTGCAGCATGAATGGGATGGGAAGTAACTCTCGCCATGCAGACAGTATTTTGATTATTTCCCAGTTTTTTTAACTCTTACACGCACATTTCAGTTATAATAAGTTACTTAGAAATAGATGCTAGTGTTGACTGCAAACAGCAGTATGAACACAGATTGCTGCCACATCATTTCTCTAACCCAATCCTATTTCTTAATATTTGCAGAACAGGACTGATAATTCTGTAAATTCAGAGATGAGGAAAAGACGCTGACTTTGGGTTGGACACACATTAAGAAAACGCATTAAGGACACAGGTTGTTGCAACCTGTAAATAGTTGATGTCATAAACATCATGGAGGAGTCTTGCTCCTCTGCAAGTTATTATGTCACACTAAGTCCTTGATAACACTAGAGCTGCTGCATTAAGAGTGTTCTTCCAGTGATGTCAACTGGTTGAGTTATTTGTCATGTAAAATCAGCCATCTCAGAGTTGCTTGGTCTTAGTTGGCCAGCGCTTTAGAAGCATCACACCATTCAGTTTTGAGCCCCAGATCATTCTATAGGTCCTCTCTCTGTCAGTCAGTATACAAGGAGATCATCTGTACAGGATATTTTCTTCTCTTTGCCAGTTATTTATTCTCTCATTGTCTGTAGTACCTACACTGGACAAAATGCATATCAAATTTTTAAAGTGTCTGTATACCCGAACCACAGACTTCTGAATCATTGTTGCCATCATCTTCTGATTGTTGTGTTGGTTTCTGATTGTTCAGGTGAAGAGCTTGTTTGAGTGGTGGCTGGAGCATGCTGGTCTCGATTCTGTGAGGACATACAAAGACTTGTCAGAGGTTCAGCCACACATGTATTTCAATCTGATATGCCAGGTAGGTTACCATGCGTGAAAATATGATTGGTTTCTCTGCACCATGTGTGACCTTCAGTGGATAATTGTCCAGGTTTACTTAAGTCTGTAATATATCATAGCTAAACCTGTCTAGTCAGATGTCAACATGACTGACACCTAGAGAGATCAACAGCACATTCAACATGACTGATACCTAGAGAGATCAACAACACATTAAACATGACTGACACCTAGAGAGATCAACAGCACATTCAACATGACTGACACCTAGAGAGATCAACAACACATTAAACATGACTGACACCTAGAGAGATCAACAGCACATTAAACATGACTGACACCTAGAGAGATCAACAGCACATTAAACATGACTGACACCTAGAGAGATCAACAACACATTAAACATCACTGACACCTAGAGAGATCAACAACACATTAAACATGACTGACACCTAGAGAGATCAACAACACATTAAACATGACTGACACCTAGAGAGATCAACAACACATTAAACATGACTGACACCTAGAGAGATCAACAGCACATTAAACATGACTGACACCTAGAGAGATCAACAACACATTAAACATGAATGACACCTAGAGTGATCAACAGCACATTAAACATGACTGACACCTAGAGAGATCAACAGCACATTAAACATGACTGACACCTAGAGAGATCAACAGCACATTAAACATGACTGACACCTAGAGAGATCAACAGCACATTCAACATGACTGACACCTAGAGAGATCAACAACACATTAAACATGGCTGACACCTAGAGAGATCAACAGCACATTAAACATGACTGACACCTAGAGAGATCAACAGCACATTAAACATGACTGACACCTAGAGAGATCAACAACACATTAAACATGACTGACACCTAGAGAGATCAACAGCACATTAAACATGACTGACACCTAGAGAGATCAACAACACATTAAACATGACTGACACCTAGAGAGATCAACAACACATTCAACATGACTGACACCTAGAGAGATCAACAACACATTAAACATGACTGACACCTAGAGAGATCAACAGCACATTAAACATGACTGACACCTAGAGAGATCAACAACACATTAAACATGACTGACACCTAGAGAGATCAACAACACATTAAACATGACTGACACCTAGAGAGATCAACAACACATTAAACATGACTGACACCTAGAGAGATCAACAACACATTAAACATGACTGACACCTAGAGAGATCAACAGCACATTAAACATGACTGACACCTAGAGAGATCAACAACACATTCAACATGAGAATCCTCAAATGTTATGTGTACTCAACTCTGCTGTCTGGTACAGTGAACAGGCAGCTACAAAATCAGATTGTGTCTCTGGGAATATTTGTGTTTCATGGAAACAAATACAGAAGTTCTGGAAATACTGATATACAGAAGAATATGTGGTATTTCATGGAAACAAAAACAGTCAAATACAGAGTCTCTGGAAATGTGGATATACAGAAGAATAGATCTGTAAAGCCTGTGAATGAAAAGAGAATTATTGAAAAAATAAAAATGAGACAATTGAAATATTTTGGCCATGTCAAAATATGTGCTTTTAAAAACCATACTGGAAGGAAATTTCGAGGGCAAAGAGCAAGTAATAGACAGTGTTACAGATGTGAGGATAGCATCATGAGATGGAGAAACAACAGTCTGAGAGAGCATGCAACCAAGAAAAGAGACAGCATGTTGGAGATCTATTGCAGCCAACCTTGCTTGTGGAGATGGCATCTGATTGAGGATGAATATATCATTATAAGAAGCCACCTGAACTAGAAGACAGAAGATGTGATCTGTGTAACAGATACTTGTTTGCCTCTTAGTGTACTTGTTATCTGTTGGGGCAGGTATCAGTCTTCAACTCTTCTCCTAAGTCAACCACATCCTAAAACTGGCTACTAATAAGTTTCCTGGGAAGTCAAAGCAACTGGCAGCTCATGAGCCACCAAGTGCTGACTGATCTATACAAATTTGCTTATGGTTTCTCAAAGCAACTGGCAGCACATAAGTGCTCACTGGTCTATACAAATTTGCCTGTGGTTTCTCAAAGCAACTGGCAGCACATAAGTGCTGACTGGTCTATACAAATTTACCTGTGGTGTCTCAAAGCAACTGGCAGCACATGAGCCACCAAGTGCTGACTGGTCTATACAAATATGCCTGTGGTGTCAGAAGAGTTCTTCTGTTTCTTGCAGACATCTTCTGCTGTGATGGGATAATTTTTTCCTATTCTGAGACGTTTTTTTAATTGTCCCATTTTGAGACATGTGACCTATTTTGTCAGTAGCGTCAGTTATGCAACAGAAGTCAATGAATTATTTCCTCAGGTTATTCGCGTGGCTGACTATCAGGTTCCGGCCTATGACTGTAAGGTTCTTCGAGTGTGGGATGGAAGCAAATTTCAGGGGTGAGCTATCTGCATGTCAGCACCAGAATTGTTTACAAATGTTTTATTGATCACGTTACCTTGAGTCGTTGTCTGTCACTTCACTGTGATGACCCCCCACCCCAGCTCCCATCACACACACACACAGAGGGAGAGAGAGGGAGGGGGAGAGAGAGAGAGAGAGAGATTTCATCTCACGGCCTTTCTAGCTGAAGAAGTAATAACATTTGTTGGGTTTGAGTGAAATAGGACTAGCTTTTTTCTGTATAAAAAAAAAAGACTTGCCTGTTTGCATCTGTACTGACCAACAGGCATGCATGCTGGTAAATAAAGTGTGGTACTCACATAGAGGCACATTAGGAGAAGTGCTGAGATGTGGTAGGAAACACAGATTTCTGCAGGCTGGCTGAATAAACATAAGACAATCTGTGACCAGCAAGGGAATAAATAAAACACAAGACAATCCATGACCAGCAAGTGGACAAACACAAGACAATCTGTGACCAGCAAGTAAATAAACACAAGACAATCTGTGACCAGTAAGGGAATAAAAAACAAGACAATCTGTGACCAGCAAGGGAATAAAACACAAGACAATCTGTAACTAGCAAGAAAAAAAAAACACAAGACAATCTGTGACCAGCAAGTGGACAAACACAAGACAATCTGTGACTAGCAAGGGAATAAAACACAAGACAGTCTGTGACCAGCAAGGGAATAAAACACAAGACAGTCTGTGACCAGCAAGTGAATAAAACACAAGACAATCTGTGACCAGCAAGTGAATAAAACACAAGACAATCTGTGACCAGCAAGTACATGTCTGTTCTGTGTGACCTTGTGTGTTTGTTGTGGTTAATGGTTTCTGTTTTAGTTCTTGATGCAGACATTTATGTGCATGTCTGAACCTTTCTGCTCTTTGAAACACATGATCATATCTGGAGCACAACTCCAGCACAGCTCTGAATATGACATGTCTAACTTATAGTTTATGTGCAGCAACTAGTCCTAGCTTGCTCATCTAACTTATAGTTTGTGTGCAGCAACTAGTCCTAGCTTGCTGATCTAACTAATAGTTTGTGTGCAGCAACTAGTCCTAGCTTGCTGATCTAATAGTTTATGTGCAGCAACTAGTCCTAGCTTGCTCATCTAACTTATAGTTTGTGTGCAGCAGCTAGTCCTAGCTTGCTCATCTAACTTATAGTTTGTGTGCAGCAACTAGTCCTAGCTTGCTGATCTAATAGTTTATGTGCAGCAACTAGTCCTAGCTTGCTCATCTAACTAATAGTTTATGTGCAGCAGCTAGTCCTAGCTTGCTCATCTAACTTATAGTTTGTGTGCAGCAACTAGTCCTAGCTTGCTGATCTAACTAATAGTTTGTGTGCAGCAACTAGTCCTAGCTTGCTGATCTAATAGTTTATGTGCAGCAACTAGTCCTAGCTTGCTCATCTAACTAATAGTTTATGTGCAGCAACTAGTCCTAGCTTGCTGATCTAACTAATAGTTTGTGTACAGCAACTAGTCCTAGCTTGCTCATCTAACTAATAGTTTATGTGCAGCAGCTAGTCCTAGCTTGCTCATCTAACTTATAGTTTGTGTGCAGCAACTAGTCCTAGCTTGCTGATCTAACTAATAGTTTGTGTGCAGCAACTAGTCCTAGCTTGCTGATCTAATAGTTTATGTGCAGCAACTAGTCCTAGCTTGCTCATCTAACTAATAGTTTATGTGCAGCAACTAGTCCTAGCTTGCTGATCTAACTAATAGTTTGTGTGCAGCAACTAGTCCTATCTTGCTGATCTAACTAATAGTTTGTGTGCAGCAACTAGTCCTATCTTGCTTATCTAACTAATAGTTTGTGTGCAGCAACTAGTCCTAGCTTGCTGATCTAACTAATAGTTTGTGTGCAGCAACTAGTCCTATCTTGCTGATCTAACTAATAGTTTGTGTGCAGCAACTAGTCCTATCTTGCTGATCTAACTAATAGTTTGTGTGCAGCAACTAGTCCTATCTTGCTCATCTAACTAATAGTTTGTGTGCAGCAACTAGTCCTATCTTGCTCATCTAACTTATAGTTTGTGTGCAGCAACTAGTCCTAGCTTGCTGATCTAACTAATAATTTGTGTGCAGCAACTAGTCCTATCTTGCTGATCTAACTAATAGTTTGTGTGCAGCAACTAGTCCTATCTTGCTGATCTAACTAATAGTTTATGTGCAGCAACTAGTCCTATCTTGCTGATCTAACTAATAGTTTGTGTGCAGCAACTAGTCCTAGCTTGCTGATCTAACTAATAGTTTGTGTGCAGCAACTAGTCCTATCTTGCTGATCTAACTAATAGTTTGTGTGCAGCAACTAGTCTTAGCTTGCTCATCTAACTAATAGTTTATGTGCAGCAACTAGTCCTATCTTGCTGATCTAACTAATAGTTTGTGTGCAGCAACTAGTCCTAGCTTGCTGATCTAACTAATAGTTTGTGTGCAGCAACTAGTCCTATCTTGCTGATCTAACTAATAATTTGTGTGCAGCAACTAGTCTTAGCTTGCTCATCTAACTATTAGTTTATGTGCAGCAACTAGTCCTATCTTGCTGATCTAACTAATAGTTTGTGTGCAGCAACTAGTCCTATCTTGCTGATCTAACTAATAGTTTATGTGCAGCAACTAGTCTTAGCTTGCTCATCTAACTAATAGTTTGTGTGCAGCAACTAGTCCTATCTTGCTGATCTAACTAATAATTTGTGTGCAGCAACTAGTCCTATCTTGCTGATCTAACTAATAGTTTGTGTGCAGCAACTAGTCCTATCTTGCTGATCTAACTAATAGTTTGTGTGCAGCAACTAGTCCTAGCTTGCTGATCTAACTAATAGTTTATGTGCAGCAACTAGTCCTATCTTGCTGATCTAACTAATAGTTTATGTGCAGCAACTAGTCTTAGCTTGCTCATCTAACTAATAGTTTATGTGCAGCAACTAGTCCTATCTTGCTGATCTAACTAATAATTTGTGTGCAGCAACTAGTCCTATCTTGCTGATCTAACTAATAGTTTGTGTGCAGCAACTAGTCCTATCTTGCTGATCTAACTAATAGTTTGTGTGCAGCAACTAGTCCTAGCTTGCTGATCTAACTAATAGTTTATGTGCAGCAACTAGTCCTATCTTGCTGATCTAACTAATAGTTTATGTGCAGCAACTAGTCTTAGCTTGCTCATCTAACTAATAGTTTGTGTGCAGCAACTAGTCCTATCTTGCTGATCTAACTAATAGTTTGTGTGCAGCAACTAGTCCTATCTTGCTGATCTAACTAATAGTTTGTGTGCAGCAACTAGTCCTATCTTGCTGATCTAACTAATAGTTTGTGTGCAGCAACTAGTCCTAGCTTGCTGATCTAACTAATAGTTTGTGTGCAGCAACTAGTCCTATCTTGCTGATCTAACTAATAGTTTGTGTGCAGCAACTAGTCCTATCTTGCTGATCTAACTAATAGTTTATGTACAGCAACTAGTCCTAGCTTGCTGATCTAACTAATAGTTTATGTGCAGCAACTAGTCCTATCTTGCTGATCTAACTAATAGTTTATGTGCATCAACTAGTCTTAGCTTGCTCATCTAACTAATAGTTTGTGTACAGCAACTAGTCCTAGCTTGCTCATCTAACTAATAGTTTGTGTACAGCAACTAGTCCTAGCTTGCTCATCTAACTAATAGTTTATGTGCAGCAACTATTCCTAGCTTGCTGATCTAACTAATAGTTTATGTGCAGCAACTAGTCCTAGCTTGCTGATCTAACTAATAGTTTATGTGCAGCAACTAGTCCTATCTTGCTGATCTAACTAATAGTTTATGTGCATCAACTAGTCTTAGCTTGCTCATCTAACTAATAGTTTATGTGCAGCAACTATTCCTAGCTTGCTGATCTAACTAATAGTTTATGTGCAGCAACTAGTCTTAGCTTGCTCATCTAACTAATAGTTTATGTGCAGCAACTAGTCCTATCTTGCTGATCTAACTAATAGTTTATGTGCAGCAACTAGTCTTAGCTTGCTCATCTAACTAATAGTTTATGTGCATCAACTAGTCTTAGCTTGCTCATCTAACTAATAGTTTGTGTACAGCAACTAGTCCTAGCTTGCTCGTCTAACTAATAGTTTATGTGCAGCAACTATTCCTAGCTTTCTCATCCTTGCAGAGATTCCTAGGTGATGTATCTCATTGGCAGTTTCTGTGCAATAACTAGTAAAATTCAATATTGAAAGTCAACAATGCTTGCTCATTAGTGCAGTGATGTGAAGGTAATGTATCTAACAATCAGTTTGTTTGTAAAAACTAATAAATTTCAATATTGAAAGTCAACAGTACTTGCTCATTATTGCAGTGATGTGAAGATGACAGCCAGAGAAGAATTAAAAGACCCAGTTCAAGAAGACAGCACACTGATGGAAGCGTCCGCTGGTCTGGCTGTGGATGTGTATCTGTTTGGCGAGCATAAACTCAGGGCTGACAAGATTCAGGTACATATGCACCAGTGATTCATTCTTCCTGTTCTAGTGGCAGATTTAATCTCAGCATTGATTGTTATGCAATTAGTTGTTGGTTGTTCGTCAACAAAAGCATCACTGCACTCAAGCAATCAGCAGATTTAGAAATCTGGTTCCAAACTAACCTTTATTCTGAGACGAAATGAGCAAAAAATTATCTAAAAAGGGCACTTAGATTAGAACCAGTCTGAGAAAAAGAGGACAGCCAAGGGAAACATAAAGAAGAGAGGCTAACAATTGCTGGGCTGAACTCCTGTCCAAAATTAAGAGTTGCATGCAATATGGCGGAGTGAAGGAATCGAATGCCCTTTGTGACATCTAATGGCACAGATAATGATGACTACCCCTTATACACTCTAATTACTAGATCAACATCTCTGCAATCTTTATTGAGCACTAGTTCCAGTTTGTTAGAGATTTTTTTTTCAACAGTTTGAGGCCAGGCCTAATTAGGAACCTAGGTCAACTAGAAAAATTCACGTTGATACAGATTGAAACCATAGACCTATAGGCCAGCAGACAAGATGTCTAGCACTGCGCTGCTAAAAGAAAAGTGGCATCAACAGATCAGTATTTATGTTTTAGCAATTTGTGATTACTGTCAACTATTTAACAGATCAGTATTAATGTTATAGTAATATGTGATTGAGGAGTGACTATGATTTGATGTAGTGGCTAGATAATCCCCATAGGTCCAAAGGTTGTAGGTTCGAATCCACATTGATCCAGATTTTTTTCTTTAGAAATAACATTGGCTGCCAGGTTGACCCAGCCTAAATGGAATACAAGGTAAAGTTCTAGGAAGTAAAGGCGGCTGACGTGATGGTGATCACATCCCCCACTGGTTGGGCCATAAAATATAGGTCTAGCCCTAAATGCCAATACATCTGAAAGCGGGGTCCTTTAATATGTGATTATTGTTAACTGTTAACTGTTTGATAGATGTGTATTTACAGTCATATATGATGATTCCCAGCTGTTTGACTCTTTGAGTCTCAAGGAATGCATCATTCCTCCCTAGAGGCTCAATGAACGCATGATGCACCGATTTTATGTCTCTCTCAACCCTCCTTGAGCCTGTGATGCTAAACCCCCTGGGACTCAAAGAGTTAATAGATGAGTATTTATGTTACAGTCATATATGATGATTCTCAGCTGTTTGATAGATGTTTTTACTTTACAGTAATATATGATGATTCTCAGCTGTTTGATAGATGTTTTTACTTTACAGTCATATATAATGATTCTCAGCTGTTTGATAGATGTTTTTACTTTACAGTAATATTTAATGATTCTCAGCTGTTTGATAGATGTTTTTACTTTACAGTAATATATGATGATTCTCAGCTGTTTGATAGATGTTTTTACTTTACAGTAATATATGATGATTCTCAGCTGTTTGATAGATGTTTTTACTTTACAGTAATATATGATGATTCTCAGCTGTTTGATAGATGTTTTTACTTTACAGTAATATTTAATGATTCTCAGCTGTTTGATAGATGTTTTTACTTTACAATAATATATAATGATTCTCAGCTGTTTGATAGATGTTTTTACTTTACAGTAATATTTAATGATTCTCAGCTGTTTGACAGATGTTTTTACTTTACAGTAATATATGATGATTCTCAGATGTTTGATAGATGTTTTTACTTTACAGTAATATATGATGATTCTCAGCTGTTTGATAGATGTTTTTACTTTACAGTAATATATGATGATTCTCAGCTGTTTGATAGATGTTTTTACTTTACAGTAATATATGATGATTCTCAGCTGTTTGATAGATGTTTTTACTTTACAGTAATATATAATGATTCTCAGCTGTTTGATAGAGGAGTATTTACTTTGTAGTAATATGTGATTTTTGTCAGCTGTTGTCATTGTCAGGAACTAGTCACATAGTTGTGGATGAACACAGATAATATATTCAGGTAACATGTCAACTCTCAGCACGTGACTTGGCTTCAACAGTTTTGCTTACAGTGGGTCAATGACTTTTCTGTTTTATTTGTTGTTTTTCAGCCAGGCAGCTTCATCGAGCTGATCAACTTGCACGCTGCAGTGGTCACTGGTAGAGTGGAGATGACTTTACACGAAGGCACAAGGTACGAGAGAGGAGTTAACGATCTGTCTAGAAGCTCACCTCAAGTGAGACACCTCAGCGAACTCCTGACCTCCATTGTTGACAAAGTGAACACTGATCGTGCCAACGCTCTAAAACGGCAGCATATTGCGGTGGATAGTTTAGCCATTAACAGTTTGATTGAAATAGAGAAACAGAGCCATGTGTTGGAGCAGCATCAGGAGGCATCTGAAGACAAGAGAAGGAAATCTTCTGATGGCGAAGATCTGCTGGAGATTTCCAGCAACAGTGATCAGTCTTTGCAATTCTCTGATGCTGACTTGCAGGCCAAGAGAGATCTGGCTAGTCAACCTGTTCTCAGCCGGGTACAAGATAACAGCATTTCATCTTCAGACCATAGTTTGCCGTCCTCACAACCACATTCCAATGAGATCATTAGTGACTCCATCTCTCAACAAGTTTCAGACAAGCTGATCAATACTCCGGAGCGGTCTTCACAACCACATTACATCGAGATCGTTGGTGACACATTCTGTCAACAAGTTTCCAACAAGTTGATCAATACTCCGGAGCAGTCATCACAGGACAGCTTCCACACAGCATCTAGTCAACCAGAAGTTGACACAGCAGACATAGCTATCAGCAATTTTTCTTTACCTGAACCAGTAGCTGCACAGAGGATCTTCCTGTCTCTGAAGACTAAACCAGACACACAAGAGAACATTAATGATCACCATCAACAGTCCTCAGAACTTCAGCCGGACACACAGGAGAACCCAAATGATGGTCACAGGCTGTTGACCCTTAGCAACAGTGATGTTCTCTCCTTGTCCTCCAGCGTGTACTGCTTCGAGACTGCTCAGTTCACACAGACTTGCACAGCAGTGAATACACAGGGACCAGATGTTGTTGCAGAAACTGAAGCCAGCAGGGAGACAACACAGCCACCCAGATGTATGCTGACAACTGCATCAAGTATGGTGAATCTTTGCTTTTTTTAATCTCTTTCTCCACACTTTCTTGAGTAGATAACAATCTGTAAAGAAACATATTCTTGTAAACTGCCTTTTTTTTAAATGTTAACAAAAATAATATATTTAACTCTTTGAGTCCCAGGGGGTTTAGCATCACAGGCCCAGGGGGTAGTAAAGAAAGCAATAAAATCGTCGCATCATGCGTTCATTGGGCTTCTAGGTAGGAAACTATGAACGTATGATGCGTTCCTTGGGACTCAAAGAGTTAATGACAAAATATTATTTTACAAGTTTAAAGTTCTTTTCTGCTTTTTTGGCTTGTGCTTTTTTTATTTCTATTTTTTTGGTTATTTGAAGCCCCACCCTGGCTTCTGCCGGGTGCCCTGATTATAGCTGGGGCATAGAAATGGCCTAGCCATAGATATGGCCTAACGGCTGAAAGGGGTTTCTGTCACCTCTCCACGGGTGACCCTCATCCGCATGGTGGCACTTTGTGTCACTAGGTGTTTATCGCTTTGTGTGATGTCCTGATGAGGTACAACTATCTACCTACCTCTTTTTTTTTTCTCCATGGCATTGTCTTGTTCTAAATGCCAGTTGTGTAGTATAAAACAGCTGTGCCAATTCTGGAACTGTTAGTCCATCTGGTCTCGTTTTCACTTGTTCATCCAGAAAATATTGGACTGTCAGCACAGTCGCCCTCCTCAAGTTCTGTTTTTGCATGGGGTAGTGGCAGTGAATATATTGATAAGTAAATCTGGCTGTGGGCTGACTGACTGACTTTCTACCCCACCAGGACATCACATAGGCGAAACACCCGATGTGCCACCATGTGTGTGAGGATCTCCGTGGAGAGGTCCCAGAAACCGCATTTAGCCTTTAGGCCATAATTAAGGCCAGGCTGTATTGCAGCCCCTGGCAAGAGCCAGAGTAGGGCTTCAAATAACGAAAAATTGTATCCTGAAAAGGACGGGAAGTTATTGAATTAAGTTAAATTTACTGGCTGTGGAGGTCAGCACAGGGTGTTACTTTTGTCTAGTGAGAGGCAAACACTAGGTGGTCTTTTTTAATCCAAAATGGATAGACCCTCAATAAAATCATCATATCACTGGCTATTGTCTGCAGGTCACCTTATGTTCTGTGAATTATTTTTGGTCTCCCTTTAATTTGTTGATCTGTCTCCAGTGATCTTCATGTCTTTTTGTCTCCATTTAATTTGTTTATCTGTCTCCAGTGATCTTTGGGTCTTTTGGTCTGGTCTCACTATATTTTGTTTATCTGTCTCTAGTGATTTTCATGTCTTTTGGTCTCCCTTAAATTTGTGTATCTGTCTCCAGTGATCTTCATGTCCTTTAGTCTCCCTTTATTTTGTTTATCTGTCTCCAGTGATCTTCATGTCTTTTGATCTCCCTTTATTTTGTTTATCTGTCTCTAGTGACCTTCATGCCTTTTGGTCTCATTTTATTTTGTTTATCTGTCTCAAGTGATCTTTATGCCTTTTGGTCTCACTATATTTTGTTTATCTGTCTCCAGTGATCTTCATGCCTTTTGGTCTCACTATATTTTGTTTATCTGTCTCCAGTGATCTTCATGTCTTTTGGTCTCACTATATTTTGTTTATCTGTCTCTAGTGATCTTCATGCCTTTTGGTATCACTATATTTTGTTTATCTGTCTCAAGTGATCTTCATGCCTTTTGGTCTCACTATATTTTGTTTATCTGTCTCCAGTGATCTTCATGTCTTTTGGTCTCACTATATTTTGTTTATCTGTCTCCAGTGGTCTTCATGTCTTTTGGTCTCACTATATTTTGTTTATCTGTCTCTAGTGATCTTCATGTCTTTTGGTCTCACTATATTTTGTTTATCTGTCTCTAGTGATCTTCATGTCTTTTGGTCTCACTATATTTTGTTTATCTGTCTCTAGTGATCTTCATGTCTTTTGGTCTCACTATATTTTGTTTATCTGTCTCTAGTGATCTTCATGTCTTTTGGTCTCCCTTTATTTTGTTTATCTGTCTCTAGTGATCTTCATGCCTTTTGGTCTCACTATATTTTGTTTATCTGTCTCTAGTGATCTTCATGTCTTTTGGTCTCACTATATTTTGTTTATCTGTCTCTAGTGATCTTCATGCCTTTTGGTCTCACTATATTTTGTTTATCTGTCTCCAGTGATCTTCATGTCTTTTGGTCTCCTTTTATTTTATTTATCTGTCTCCAGTAAAAGATACGAGTAAACACAGAATGTCTAAAATCAAAAGAAGGAGAGTTCTTAATGGATGAAGATATTATGATGACTAGATGAAATGAAGACATAAGAGAGTAATATGATGGAAAGAGAGCAGAATTACCAGGAAAAAAAAGAAATTTAGAAGGTCCATATATACTAAAGGAAGAAATTAGCGATGCTATTAAACAGATGAAGAAAGGAAAATCAACTGGGCCAGATGAAATTTCAGTAGAAGAATTAGAAGTACTGGGGGAGGGTGGGGTAGAAAAATTAACTAAACTGATGAATGACATTTATAACACTGGGTACATTCCAAGTAAAATGATGAAATCTGTATTTAATCAGTTATCCAAAAGACCAGGAGCAATTGATTGTGAAGAATTTCGTACAATCAACTTAATAAATGATGTCACCAAATTACTACTTAGAATTATAATGAGAAGAACAAAAAGCAAAATAAGAATGGAAATGAGTGGAGCAGTATGGATTTATGGAATTTAAAGGGACAAATAATGCAATATACATACTATGAACACTGATAGAAAGATCAGTGGACATACAAAAGAACTTTAATTTGGGCTTTATAGATTAAAGCATTTGACGAAGTTAAACATGAAGTGATGATAAAAATGTTGGAAAACATCAATGTAGAGGGAAAGATCTCTGAATAATAAAAAAAATTACTGGAACCAAGTAGCAGTAATTTAAGTGGGAAACAGATTGGATACTTTTGAACAGATAAAGCAAGGAGTAAGACAGAGATGTGTCTTATCCCCAGACCTTTTCTCTCTAAATAGTGAAATAATTTTGAGGGAAATTAAAGAGAATGTAGGAGTAAGAATTGGAGGATACAAAATAAACAGTTTGTGTTATGCAGACGATACAGTTTTCATAGCTGAAAATGCAACTGATTTACAACTTGAACAAAGAAGACACAAACAATAGACTGCACAATTTATTGCCTGGCATATTTCGCTGTATCTCATCAGGTGCATACTACAGAAACAAGTGAATAAAAGAAACTGAAACACAAATCCGAGTACATTCTACACTGTCTGTTTCACCAAGGTAACCCTAAGGAAACTACCATTTCTTTCTGCCTACAGAGATCTGGTTTCAACCAGTTGAAAGCATAAGCTTCCGCGTATCTGAGTAATCCACAGTTAGCCGAAATGTAAATAATTCGAAATGCATCATCCCTGTTAATGATGTGCCCAGAATTTAGAATATGGCACGCAATTGCTGATGATGGATTTTGTCGACGAGTCACCTGATTTGTTGTTGTTGAGGTTTTAGTGTTCTGCGTTGCTTTTACCACCCATAATGGAATATGTTCAGCAACCGTTTCTCCAGTCGTTGATCAGTTCTGCCCACATATGCAGCGTTACAGGTGCATTTAAATTGGTATATACAGATAGATCTGGCGTACGTCGACACTGGTTCTTTTACAGGTGGTGTAGGAATCATGGTGGTTTTAAATCTCATAACAGGCATGGCTGCGTAAAAGGTTTGACCTTTTAGAAAGGGCTTTTATTGAATATTAAGAAAACTGAAGTAATGATTATATAAAAGAAGATGATAACTCCACGTTGTGATATCTCAGTTGAAGGAAAAAGACTTAACCAAGTCAATGCATTCTAATACCTGCTGCATTTCAGAAAATGAAAAATATCTTGTGCAATAAATTGCTCTCATTTAATATCAGAAAGAGGGTGCTAAAATGTTACATGGAACCTATTCTGCTGTATGGCAGCGAATCTTGGAATGTCAGTAAACAAATTAGGAAGAATTTAGAAGCAACAGAGATGTGGTTTCTGGGACGAATGTTACGAATACCTTGGACCACCAGAGTAACTAACAACGATTGCTTGAATGAAGCTAATCTTAGTAGATCTCTATGTACAACAATAAGAAAGAGACAAACACTGTTCTTTGGCCACATAATGAGAAGAGAGGCATTGGAGAACATCGTGACAACTGGAAAGATCAGTGGAAGAAGGTGTTGAGGCAGACTAAGAGAGATGATGCTGGGTGGGCTGAAACAATGGTATGGAGGGATACCATCAAGAGGCTGTTTCGGGCAACCAGAAATCGGGATCTGTGGAGACGCATCAGCACCTACACCAGTTGGCAGGGCACATGATGATGTCTTCAGAGATCCTCATGTCTTTTTCTTCTTTTGTCATCTCACTGATACCAGGTTGTAGCCCAGTGTTGTAGTTTTGTCGTCTCACTGATACCAGGTTGTAGCCCAGTGTTGTGGTTTTGTCGTCTCACTGATACCAGGTTGTAGCCCAGTGTTGTGGTTTTGTCGTCTCACTGATACCAGGTTGTAGCCCAGTGTTGTGTTTTTGTCGTCTCACTGATACCATTTTGTAGCCCAGTGTTGTGGTTTTGTCGTCTCACTGATACCAGGTTGTAGCCCAGTGGTGTGGTTTTGTCATCTCACTGATACCAGGTTGTAGCCCGGTGTTGTGGTTTTGTCGTCTCACTGATACCAGGTTTTATCCCAGTGTTGTGGTTTTCTGTGTTTGTCTAGCACTTCTTGGGTGGTGGCTTGAGTGATGGATTTATTCACATGTCTCCATGTTTCAGCTGCACTGAGCAAACACTGAATCCTGGATTTTGAAATAGACTAGCTGGGCTAACCAGCAGGGCAGACCACCCTGGTGGTCAAATGCTGGAACTTCAGAAGCATTGGCTGAAAGAGGCGGATATCACGTCAGTGCTGTTGAGAGTCATTGAATTCGAATACAGTGCAGTCATTATTCTGTCAGTGCTGCACACATGGAGAATAACTGGATACACAGATATTTGGGGAATCAATTATCACCAGAATAATAATAGTCCCCCTCTCTCTCTTTTTCTCTCTATCACGGATACACACACCTACCACCAACACTATATTGCAAAGTGCCTTAATGCTTGTGGGCTATCTCAGCTGTAGATATCATCAAGTTTGTTCTATCTGAAATCTGTTCTAGCTGTGGTTGGTCATCACACAGCGGTCCCAGAATGTTCCCTGAGAACTGTGCTTGAGGGTAGTGTGTGTCAGAAACACAAGGTGCTAGTTCGGGTCCAGGCCATGGCACCAAACCCTGTCATCCTTGGCAAGTTGGTGAACTTTACCTGTTGTCACTGTGGATATATGTAAGTCTCTGACTGATAGTTTGTAGCACTGTAATATGTCTGTCTACTGGCTGTTGTCACTGTGGATATATGTAAGTCTCTGACTGATAGTTTGTTACACTTTGTAATATGTCTGTCTACTGGCTGTTGTCACTGTGGATATATATAAGTGTCTGAGTGATAGTTTGTAACATTTGGTAATATGTCTGTCTATTGGCTGTTGTCACTGTGTATTAAATAATACTGTGACTGAAAGTTTGTAACATTTGGTAATTTATCTGTCTACTGGCTGTTGTCACTGTGGAAATATGTAAGTCTTTGACTGATAGTTTGTAGCACTTGGTAATATGTCTGTCTACTGGCTGTTGTCACTGTGGATATATGTATGTCTCTGACTGATAGATTGTAGCACTTTGTAATATGTCTGTCTACTGGCTGTTGTCACTGTGGATATATGTAAGTCCCTGTCTGATAGTTTGTAGCACTTGGTAATATGTCTGCCTACTGGCTGTTGTCACTGTGGATATATGTAAGTCTCTGACTGATAGTTTGTAACATTTGGTAATTTGTCAGTCTACTGGTTGTTGTCACTGTGGATATATGTAAGTCTCTGACTGATAGTTTGTAACATTTGGTAATATGTCTGTCTACTGGCTGTTGTCACTGTGGATATATGTAAATCTCTGTCTGATTGTTTGTAGTATTTGGTAATATGTCTGTTTACTGGCTGTTGTCACTGTGGATATATGTAAGTCTCTGACTGATAGTTTGTTACACTTTGTAATATGTCTGTCTACTGGCTGTTGTCACTGTGGATATATATAAGTGTCTGAGTGATAGTTTGTAACATTTGGTAATATGTCTGTCTATTGGCTGTTGTCACTGTGTATTAAATAATACTGTGACTGAAAGTTTGTAACATTTGGTAATTTATCTGTCTACTGGCTGTTGTCACTGTGGAAATATGTAAGTCTTTGACTGATAGTTTGTAGCACTTGGTAATATGTCTGTCTACTGGCTGTTGTCATTGTGGAAATATGTATGTCTCTGACTGATAGATTGTAGCACTTTGTAATATGTCTGTCTACTGGCTGTTGTCACTGTGGATATATGTAAGTCCCTGTCTGATAGTTTGTAGCACTTGGTAATATGTCTGCCTACTGGCTGTTGTCACTGTGGATATATGTAAGTCTCTGACTGATAGTTTGTAACATTTGGTAATTTGTCAGTCTACTGGTTGTTGTCACTGTGGATATATGTAAGTCTCTGACTGATAGTTTGTAACATTTGGTAATATGTCTGTCTACTGGCTGTTGTCACTGTGGATATATGTAAATCTCTGTCTGATTGTTTGTAGTATTTGGTAATATGTCTGTTTACTGGCTGTTGTCACTGTGGATATATGTAAGTCCCTGACTGATAGTTTGTAGCACTTGGTAATATGTCTGCCTACTGGCTGTTGTCACTGTGGATATATGTAAGTCCCTGACTGATAGTTTGTAGCACTTGGTAATATGTCTGTCTACTGGCTGTTGTCACTGTGGATATATGTAAGTCCCTGACTGATAGTTTGTAGCACTTGGTAATGTGTCTGCCTACTGGCTGTTGTCACTGTGGATATATGTAAATCTCTGTCTGATTGTTTGTAGTATTTGGTAATATGTCTGTTTACTGGCTGTTGTCACTGTGGATATATGTAAGTCTCTGACTGATAGTTTGTTACACTTTGTAATATGTCTGTCTACTGGCTGTTGTCACTGTGGATATATATAAGTGTCTGAGTGATAGTTTGTAACATTTGGTAATATGTCTGTCTATTGGCTGTTGTCACTGTGTATTAAATAATACTGTGACTGAAAGTTTGTAACATTTGGTAATTTATCTGTCTACTGGCTGTTGTCACTGTGGAAATATGTAAGTCTTTGACTGATAGTTTGTAGCACTTGGTAATATGTCTGTCTACTGGCTGTTGTCACTGTGGATATATGTATGTCTCTGACTGATAGATTGTAGCACTTTGTAATATGTCTGTCTACTGGCTGTTGTCACTGTGGATATATGTAAGTCCCTGTCTGATAGTTTGTAGCACTTGGTAATATGTCTGCCTACTGGCTGTTGTCACTGTGGATATATGTAAGTCTCTGACTGATAGTTTGTAACATTTGGTAATTTGTCAGTCTACTGGTTGTTGTCACTGTGGATATATGTAAGTCTCTGACTGATAGTTTGTAACATTTGGTAATATGTCTGTCTACTGGCTGTTGTCAATGTGGATATATGTAAATCTCTGTCTGATTGTTTGTAGTATTTGGTAATATGTCTGTTTACTGGCTGTTGTCACTGTGGATATATGTAAGTCCCTGACTGATAGTTTGTAGCACTTGGTAATATGTCTGCCTACTGGCTGTTGTCACTGTGGATATATGTAAGTCCCTGACTGATAGTTTGTAGCACTTGGTAATATGTCTGTCTACTGGCTGTTGTCACTGTGGATATATGTAAGTCCCTGACTGATAGTTTGTAGCACTTGGTAATGTGTCTGCCTACTGGCTGTTGTCACTGTGGATATATGTAAGTCCCTGACTGATAGTTTGTAGCACTTGGTAATGTGTCTGCCTACTGGCTGTTGTCACTGTGGATATATATAAGTCCCTGACTGATAGTTTGTAGCACTTGGTAATATGTCTGTCTACTGGCTATTGTCTTGGTGGATATATGTAAGTCTCTGACTGATAGTTTGTGGTACTCCCAGGTCAACCCAGCCTTTGAGTGGGTACCAGGTGCAGCCCTGTTTCTGCCCGTGTCCTTGTCTTGTTGGCTCAGGTGTTTTTGTCTGTGACTTGTAAACATGGTGTTTTTTTGTGTTCCTCTGTTGTTGGCTCAGATGTGTCTGTGTGTGACATGTTGTAAACATGGTGTTTGTGTGTGTTCCTGTCTTGTTAGCTCAGATGTGTCTGTGTGTGACATGTTGTAAACATGGTGTTTGTGTGTGTTCCTGTCTTGTTAGCTCAGATATGTCTGCGACATGGTTAACATGGTGTTTTTTCTATTCTTCTCATGGTATGCTTAAAATAGCTGCCCATGTTCTTCCACTTGTGTTCTGTATACCCGACACCAAAGCTGGTTTGTGTTTTTATATTGAAAGATGTTTGATCAGTTGTAATTGATGACCAGAGTGATATAAGCCAGAAGGTCAGGTGAGGTGGTCAGTGTGCTGGCTAGTTTGGCTCTAGTAACACAGCCACATAAACATGGCTGCTAGACAGTTTCAGAAGTGTCTGGAGTTGGTACAGCCAGCAAGCTCACACATGGTTGATTGATGTCTTCTCTGTTGAATGAGTGGCAGTTTGTTTCTTCAACATAGCCATGCTTGACAATTTTTTTTGTATGTGTCTGAAACAGTGAATCAGCTGAATCAATGAAAGTCCAGTTGGGCACAGACTTACCAGTGCATGTGTGTTCTGTAGATGTGGCTCAATGCCAGCAGTTGGAGCCAGTCATTGTTCTGTCATTCATTCTCACTGATGGCCAGGATTCTGTGACAGCTTATGTGTGGGGCAAACATGCGGTGAGTTGATTCTGTGACAGCTTATGTGTGGGGCAAACATGCGGTGAGTTGATTCTGTAATACCTTACGTTTGAGCAGACTTGCAGTAAGTTGATTCTGTGACAGTTTATGTGGGAGCAAACATGCGGTGAGTTGATTCTGTGACAGTTTATGTGGGGCAAACATGCGGTGAGTTGATTCTGTGACAGTTTATGTGTGGGGCAAACATGCGGTGAGTTGATTCTGTGACAGCTTATGTGTGGGGCAAACATGCGGTGAGTTGATTCTGTGACAGTTTATGTGTGGGGCAAACATGCGGTGAGTTGATTCTGTGACAGCTTATGTGTGGGGCAAACATGCGGTGAGTTGATTCTGTAATACCTTACGTTTGAGCAGACTTGCAGTAAGTTGATTCTGTGACAGTTTATGTGGGAGCAAACATGCGGTGAGTTGATTCTGTGACAGTTTATGTGGGGCAAACATGCGGTGAGTTGATTCTGAGACAGTTTATGTGTGGGGCAAACATGCGGTGAGTTGATTCTGTGACAGTTTATGTGTGGGGCAAACATGCGGTGAGTTGATTCTGTGACAGTTTATGTGTGGGGCAAACATGCGGTGAGTTGATTCTGTGACAGCTTATGTGTGGGGCAAACATGCGGTGAGTTGATTCTGTGACAGTTTATGTGTGGGGCAAACATGCAGTGAGTTGATTCTGTGACAGTTTATGTGTGGGGCAAACATGCGGTGAGTTGATTCTGAGACAGTTTATGTGTGGGGCAAACATGCGGTGAGTTGATTCTGTGACAGTTTATGTGTGGGGCAAACATGCGGTGAGTTGATTCTGTGACAGTTTATGTGTGGGGCAAACATGCGGTGAGATGATTCTGTAACAGTTTATGTGTGGCAAACATGCGGGGAGTTGATTCTGTAATACCTTACGTTTGAGCAGACTTGCAGTAAGTTGATTCTGTGACAGTTTATGTGGGAGCAAACATGCGCTAAGTTGATTCTGTGACAGTTTATCTGTGAGCAAACATGTACTGAGTAGATTCTGTGACTGTTTATGTGTGAGAAAACACGCACTGAGTAGATTCTGTGACAGTTTATCTGTGAGCAAACATGTGCTGAGTAGATTCTGTGACAGTTTATGTGGGAGCAAACATGTACTGAGTAGATTCTGTGACTGTTTATGTGTGAGCAAACACGCACTGAGTAGATTCTGTGACAGTTTATCTGTGAGCAAACATGTGCTGAGTAGATTCTGTGACAGTTTATCTGTGAGCAAACATGTGCTAAGTAGATTCTGTGACAGTTTATGTGTGAGCAAACATGCACTGAGTAGATTCTGTGACAGTTTATGTGTGAGCAAACATGTACTGAGTAGATTCTGTGACAGTTTATCTGTGAGCAAACATGTACTGAGTAGATTCTGTGACAGTTTATCTGTGAGCAAACATGTGCTGAGTAGATTCTGTGACAGTTTATCTGTGAGCAAACATGTGCTGAGTAGATTCTGTGACAGTTTATCTGTGAGCAAACATGTGCTGAGTAGATTCTGTGACAGTTTATGTGTGAGCAAACATGTACTGAGTAGATTCTGTGACAGTTTATCTGTGAGCAAACATGAACTGAGTAGATTCTGTGACAGTTTATCTGTGAGCAAACATGTACTGAGTAGATTCTGTGACAGTTTATCTGTGAGCAAACATGTGCTGAGTAGATTCTGTGACTGTTTGTGTGTGAGAAAACACGCACTGAGTAGATTCTGTGACAGTTTATCTGTGAGCAAACATGTGCTGAGTAGATTCTGTGACAGTTTATGTGGGAGCAAACATGTACTGAGTAGATTCTGTGACTGTTTATGTGTGAGCAAACACGCACTGAGTAGATTCTGTGACAGTTTATCTGTGAGCAAACATGTGCTGAGTAGATTCTGTGACAGTTTATCTGTGAGCAAACATGTGCTGAGTAGATTCTGTGACAGTTTATGTGTGAGCAAACATGTGCTGAGTAGATTCTGTGACAGTTTATGTGGGAGCAAACACGCACTGAGTAGATTCTGTGACAGTTTATCTGTGAGCAAACATGTGCTGAGTAGATTCTGTGACAGTTTATCTGTGAGCAAACATGTGCTGAGTAGATTCTGTGACAGTTTATGTGTGAGCAAACATGTGCTAAGTAGATTCTGTGACAGTTTATCTGTGAGCAAACATGTACTGAGTAGATTCTGTCACAACTTATGTGTAAGCAGACATGTACTGAATAGATTCTGTCACAACTTATGTGTAAGCAAACATGTACTGAGTAGATTCTGTCACAACTTATGTGTAAGCAGACATGTACTGAATAGATTCTGTCACAACTTATGTGTAAGCAAATATGTACAGAGTAGATTCTGTCACAACTTATGTATAAGCAAATATGTACTGAGTAGATTCTGTCAGAACTTATGTGTAAGCAAACATGTACTGAGTAGATTCTGTCACAACTTATGTGTAAGCAGACATGTACTGAGAAGATTCTGTCACAACTTACATGTAAGCAAACATGTTCTGAGTAGATTCTGTCACAACTTATGTGTAAGCAGACATGTACTGAGTAGATTCTGTCACAACTTATGTGTAAGCAGACATGAAATGAGTAGATTCCCTGGCAGCTTTTGTGTGGGACAAACAGGCAGAGGGTAGGTTCTCTGAGAGCCTACGTATGCGACAAACAGGAAGTGTCTAAGTTCTATGGCAGTTACGTGTGGGACAAACAGGCGGAGACTAGGTTCTTACGCAGCTTATGTGTGAGACAAACAGGAAGTGGCTGGGTTCTTTGGCAACTTACATGTTGGACAAACAAGCAGAGACTGAGTTTTCTTACAGCTTATGTTTTGGACAAACAGGCAGGGGCTAGGTTCTCTGGCAGCTGATGTGTGGGACAAACAGGAAGTGTCTGGGTTCTCTGGCAGCTTACACATGGGACAAATGGGCAAAGACTAGGTTCTTCCCCAGCTTATGTGTGGGACAAACAGAAAGTGGCTGCGTTCTGTGGCAACTTATGTGTTGGACAAACAGGAAGTGTCTTGGTTCTCTGGCAGCTTACGTGTGGGACAAACGGGCAGAGACTAGGTTCTCTTGCAGCTTACGTGTGGGACAAACGGGCAGAGACTAGGTTCTCTAACATCTTACGCATGGGACAAAGAGGAAGTGTCTAGGTTCTCTTTCAGCTTCCACGTGGGACAAACAGGAATTGACTTGGTTCTCTGGAAACTTATGTGTGGAACAAACAGGAAGTGACTGGGTTTTCTGACAGCTTATGTTTTGGACAAACAGGCAGAGGCTAGGTTCTCTGGCAGCTTATGTGTGCAACAAACAGGAAGTGACTGGGTTCTCTGCCAGCTTACGTGTGAGACAAACAGAAAGTGTCTAAATTCTCTGGCAGCTTTCGTGTGGGGCAAGCAGGCTAATGATCTGATGAGTTGAGATGATCGTCACAGGAGCAGAAACTACACACGAATGAGTTCCATTAAGCACTTGTGCTTTTATATAACTGGAAATGTTTCTCCCATCAATTTTCCTTTTGTCTTCAATCGTTTCAACAAACAACAAAATCACAATTCAAGAATATCATCAGGCACATCAAGGGAACGGAACATCTCAGTAGTTGCTGCATGTGCAGCCAGTACAGTCAGTTAGAGACAGCAGATATGGGACTGGTCACTGGCAGCATTATCTACAAGTTGTTATTTGGGTGAGCCCACAACCACAGTTTCATACATGGCTTTTCTGCATGATGGGGACTACATCAGCAGAATTTCATGGTACCCTGCGGTGTTAATATTTTCATCTGTCTTCTGCACACAGGTCAACAACACTCTTTTAGAATCAGAAAATGTTAAGTATTATCTCCCTGACCTTGAACTTCTGACATGAAGAAGGAAGTTTCAGTTGTATTCAAGTAAACATTGTTGCGGGTACACCAGTGGTTCATTGCCAGTAACAGTCAAACAAAATGTGCTATGGGGAGGCCCAATCGTTACTCACCTGCCATTTAAACAATCTCTTGCCTATCTTCCACAAGATACGTGCACATAGACACAGGTAGTGCTCCACATCTTCCACAAGATACATGCACACAGACACAGGTAGTGCTCCTCATCTTCCACAAGATGCATGCACACAGACACAGGTAGTGCTCCACGTCTTCCACAAGGTACATGCACACAGACACAGGTAGTGCTCCACATCTTCCACAAGGTACATGCACACAGACACAGGTAGTGCTCCACATCTTCCACAAGATACATACACACAGACACAGGTAGTGCTCCTTATCTTCCACAAGGTACATGCACACAGACATAGGTAGTGCTCCTTATCTTCCACAAGATACATGCACACAGACACAGGCGTGCTCCTTATCTTCCACAAGGTACATGCACACAGACACAGGTAGTGCTCCTTATCTTCCACAAGATACATGCACACAAACACAGGTAGTGCTCCTTATCTTCCACAAGGTACATGCACACAGACATAGGTAGTGCTCCACATCTTCCACAAGGTACATGTACACAGACACAGGTAGTGCTCCTTATCTTCCACAAGATACATGCACACAGACACAGGCGTGCTCCTTATCTTCCACAAGGTACATGCACACAGACATAGGTAGTGCTCCACATCTTCCACAAGGTACATGCACACAGACACAGGTAGTGCTCCTTATCTTCCACAAGGTACATGCACACAGACACAGGCGTGCTCCTTATCTTCCACAAGGTACATGCACACAGACACAGGTAGTGCTCCACATCTTCCACAAGATACATACACACAGACATAGGTAGTGCTCCACATCTTCCACAAGATACATGCACACAGACACAGATAGTGCTCCACATCTTCCACAAGATACATGCACACAGACACAGGTAGTGCTCCACATCTTCCACAAGGTACATGCACACAGACACAGGTAGTGCTCCACATCTTCCACAAGATAATGCACACAGACACAGGTAGTGCTCCACATCTTCCACAAGATACATGCACACAGACACAGGTAGTGCTCCACATCTTCCACAAGATACATGTACACAGACATAGGTAGTGACACAGAGATACAAATATATTTACCATGGTATTTTTTTTACTTCTTCCCTAGATTCAGTTCCTCTGTGATATTGAACCATTAGAACTGTTGTCAGACCCAGAGTTGTTCAAGCATGTCCAAGAACGACTAGAGACTCTTTGTCCCCTTGGCTCCAGACTAGAAGACCGGCCATGGCTGGAATGCTGTTTGTTCAGCTATGGGACTGTGTCAGTGTTAAATATCAGATATTTGATACAGTACTTGTGTAACATTTGTTTCTCTCCAAACACACCTCTCTATTAATATTCTTGATTTCAGAATGTGTATAAAAAATTTTGTTGTTGTTTTGAAACCCATTATTTACTTAAAAATGAGTGGCTGAAATCTGGTCTGTATTATGCCATCCTTGATAGTTCATTGTTCCTGTTTATGCAACAAGATAGGATACATCTGCACAGCTCAGCGCATCTATATTGACACTGTCTCCCAGCATATACATATGGACACGGTCTCCCAGCATATACATAAGGACACATTATATCATTCTTTGATGTTAGCCATCAGGTCTATGCCCCAAGGTTAGGGATCTGTAAGTGGTAGCACAGGATCAGGATGTTAGTCTCAAAGACTTCTTCTTCACATTCACTGCTGGAAAGTTCTGCTTGTTCATCCACTTCTGGACTTTGGTCTTGTTCTATAACCTTAGTTTTGCATGTACATCTGTTCTGCAGATTTGGCTTTTTTTCATGTAGACTGTTGGTTCCTTGCCTCTGAAGCAGATGCACTCCGACTTTGACTGAATCATCCCTAAATAATCTCTAAATAGTCGACTTGTGCGTCATGCTTGCTAACACATCAGTTTCTCTCTCTCTCTCTCTCTCACATACGCACGCATGCATGCACACACACATACACCCACACACATGCATGTGTGCACACACACACGTCACAACTGATTGTCAGCACAGGTCTAGGTACTGTCTGAGGAAAGACAGATTTTCCTGCATATTTTTGGAGATGTAAATTCTATGTCATCATGCAATCCTTGATTAATGCTGCACTGTATATATACATGAGATTTCTGAACCATTCAGGTATGCACACACGGTACACTTGTTGTCACAGATCTTCATCTGAGATTGTTTGTGTAATAAACTGTTAGTTAACTGGACTGTCATATGTTTTTGTACATTTCTTTATTGGGAGTGCAAAAAATCTTGGGTAATTTATGTAGACTTGAAAGTGGGTTTGTTGGACCACTACAGAATCAAAATAGAATGTTTGTGCTAGTTGAGACATGGGTCCAATGTGACATGTTTGTGTTGTGATCTGCTAATTCATACATGGGTCTAGTGTTTTATGTTTTTGTTCTGTGCTTGCTTAGATATGGGTCTACTGTTCCTTTGTGTTAAGTTGTGCTAGCTTAGGCATAGGTCCAGTGCTGCATGTTTGTGTTGTGTGCTATCTCATAATGTGGGTTCAATGTTTGTGTTGGGTGCTATCTAAAAATGTGGGTTCAATGTTTGTGTTGTGTGCTAGCTCAGACATGGGTCTAGTGTTCCATGTTTGTGTTGTGTGCTAGCTCAGACATGGGTCCAATCTTCAATGTTTGTGTTGTGGGCTAGCTCAGACATGGGTCTAGTGTTTCATGTTTGTGTTGTGTGCTAGCTCAAAATGTAAGTCCAATCTTAAATGTTTATGTTGTGTGCTAGCTCAGACATGGGTCCAATCTTCAATGTTTGTGTTGTGTGCTCGCTCAGACATGGATCCAATCTTCAATGTTTGTGTTGTGTGCTAGCTCAGACATGGGTCTAGTGTTCCAGGTTTGTGTTGTGTGCTAGCTCAGACATGGGTCTAGTGTTCCATGTTTGTGTTGTGTGCTAGCTCAGACATGGGTCTAGTGTTCCATGTTTGTGTTGTGATGTGCTACCTCAGGCATAATTCCAGTGTTCCATGTTTGTGCTGTGATGTGCTAACTCAACTCAGACATTGGCCCAGTGTTCCATGTTTGTATTGTGATGTGCTAACTCAACTCAGACATTGGCCCAATGTTCTATGTTTGTGGTGTGATGTGCTACCTCAGACACGGGTCCAATGTTCCATGTTTGTGTTGTGATGTGCTACCTCAGACATGGGTCCAATGTTCCATGTTTGTATTGTGATGTGCTAACTCAGCTCAGACATTGGCCCAATGTTCTTGACCCAACAATATGGCAGACAAGACAATTTGTCTACCCAGCAATATGGCAGACAAGACAATTTGTTGACCTAACAATATGGCAGACTAGAAAATTTGTTGACCTAACAATATGGCAGACTAGAAAATTTGTTGACCTAACAATATGGCAGACTAGAAAATTTGTTGACCTAAGAATATGGCAGACTAGAAAATTTGTTGACCCAACAATATGGCAGACTAGAAAATTTGTTGACCTAACAATATGGCAGACTAGAAAATTTGTTGACCTAAAAATATGGCAGGGAAGACAGTTATTCTCCTAAAGGAGCTGACCCCACACCCCCGCCCAATCGAGCTGTCCCTTCTAGAAAGAACCTGTCCCTTGCTGCACATGGAACTTGACTGACCCTTTCAACTCTTAGGCAGCTCGTGTCACACAACTGCTGCATCGGGTCAGACATTTGTTGTATAGACCAGCAGTTAGCTGTTGATAAATAGCAGCCACCTTGACTTTCCGTGACATTAGCTGAAACCACAGTCATGAAAAAAAAACAGCTCCAGTGTAGTTTCGAACCCAAGACCTTTAATCCGAATGACCAGCCTCCAAGTTGTTTGTGTCATAATTGGCGTACAACTCAAGCAACATGGTTTATGGTATTAATAAATTAGTTGCGTGTCCTTAACAGGACATTGCACAACTAATCTCAGCATTTTATTGGCTGTTTGTTGTGTTACCAGGCAAATTTATGTTCACTAGTGTACTGTTGACTTCTGAACAGCCATCTAAACTATTGTGAAATCAGCGAAAAGCTGTCTGCTGCCCAATCACTAGAGTTCCAGTTCAACCGGGTATCTTAGAAAAATGAAGCAGGCTCACTCCACCCATACCCCAGAGAAAACACATTATCATCAACAAGAAGAACAAATTTCAGACAAGAAAATATTCAAATGTTGTAGTCATCTTTATTTTCTCACTTACACACATTTTTGAAGACACACACACTTATAAATGCACACACTTGTGATCACACATACTTATATACACACACATCTCTGTATTCACACAATTATGAACACATTCGCATATGAACACACACACAGTCATGGACATACACAGTGAACACACTGTCAGTGATGAGACAGTGCATGATCAAATAAGCACCATTCTCTTGGTCTTGAACAAAGACTTGTATGTGTGGCTGGAAACACTTATCCCACCTCAACCATCATAAGCAGAATATGTCAAGTTTTCACTCTTCCCACCCCAGTGTTGGTGTCCACTCCAGTGTTGGTGTCCACTCCAGTGTTGGTGTCCACTCCAGTGTTGGTGTCCACTCCAGTGTTGGTGTCCACTCCAGTGTTGGTGTCCACTCCAGTGTTGGTGTCCACTCCAGTGTTGGTGTCCACTCCAGTGTTGGTGTCCACCCCAGTGTTGGTGTCCACTCCAGTGTTGGTGTCCACTCCAGTGTTGGTGTCCACTCCAGTGTTGGTGTCCACTCCAGGACTGTCTTTACCCTTAGATCCACCAGGTCCTTCTCTTTGTTTTTCTTATTCACACTTAGACTGGCACACTGTTGTGTGCTAGGCTGTGCTATATCTGCACCTTCTGGCTCAACACTGGCATACTGTTATGTGCTAGGCTGTGCTATATCTGCACCTTCTTTGGGTCTGTTCTGTCCTAACCCCAGAATGGAGAGCTGGAACACATGCAGGACAATTATACAAAGTACCTAGAAAAATAGCATTTCAACTGCATAAATGAATGTGACTTAACTACCTTAAAAATACAACACTGTACTTGAAATAAATATAGTTTCTCTATAAAACGATGAACATCTTAGAATAACAACAGATGTTGCCTGAACAGTAAAGTATACTTGCATATATCCATGAATATATTCAAATATAATCAGAAGATGTACACATTTACCCATGTTAGCTATAGACAGTAGAAAATATAAAATCATTGTAAAAAAATAGATAATTAAAATTGTTTGAATAAAAAACAGTTACAAAAACATAAAAATAAAAATCTGGCATTACAAACAGTACAAAATAAATGAGGACATATTTGGTTTTACAGGGTTGTAGATTGTAGACCATCTTATACATTGTACAATCATGTAATTATACAAACTCTCTCTCTCTCTCTCTCTCTCGCTCTCCTCTCTCTCTCTCTCTCTCTCTCTCTCTCTCTCTCTCTCTCTCTCTCTCTCTCTCTCTCTCTCTCTCTCTCTCTCTCCTCTCTGTCTCTCTGTCTCTCCCTCTCTCTCTCTCTCTCTCTCTCTGTATGTATGTATATATATATATATATATATATATATATATATATATATATATATATCTTTATCTCTTTCTCTCTCTCTCTCTCTCTCTCTGTCGTACGGACACACACACACACACACACAGAGTTTAAGAATAGGTATATCTATCTATACTTTTATACCATGCAAACAAAACATATGACGCAAGTAAATGTAAACAAAATATATAAAACCACAAAATAAACCTCTTTTTGTTCAGTTAAGCCTGAACACATGAAACACAGTGCTGTAGTGGTACCAAAAATATTATCTATGTTGTTGTGATATGAGAACATTGCAACCAAGATAGGATCTGTGTTCTTGTAGTGTGAGAACATTGCAACCAAGATAGGATCTGTGTTGGGATATGAGAACATTGCAACCAAGATAGGATCTGTGTTCTTGTAGTGTGAGAACATTGCAACCAAGATAGGATCTGTGTTGGGGTGTTAGAACAGTGCAACCAAGATAGGATCTGTGTTGTTGTGGTGTGAGAATATTGCAACCAAGATAGGATCTGTGTTGTGATGTGAGAATATTGCAACCAAGATAGGATCTGTGTTCTTGTAGTGTGAGAACATTGCAACCAAGATAGGATCTGTGTTGGGGTGTTAGAACAGTGCAACCAAGATAGGATCTGTGTTGTTGTGGTGTGAGAATATTGCAACCAAGATAGGATCTGTGTTGTTGTGATGTGAGAATATTGCAACCAAGATAGGATCTGTGTTGTTGTGATGTGAGAATATTGCAACCAAGATAGGATCTGTGTTGTTGTGATGTGAGAATATTGCAACCAAGATAGGATCTGTGTTGTTGTGATG